TCACGTAATAATATATAATTTTAATATATATATATAATAGTATTTGGAAAATGATAAACTGAGAGGAAAAGAAATTGAAAATCGACTTTGACTCTATATTCATTTTTATTCTTACCTTTTTTTTAATGGAAATAGCTACTTTTATTATAAAAAACATTAATATTACAAAAAATATTTATAATCATAAACATATTAAACATATAATTATGACATTTTTTTAACTATTAACACAAAAATTAATTATTGAAATCATACAGGAATCAAACAAAGAAAATGTTAAAAACACATAAAAAAACTAGAATAAAAGATATATATGAACATATCTAACTACATCTATAAAATAAATCACAACAGAATATCAAATTACTGAAGACCACCGACAACTGTAAATCAGAATCGAATGTCGTGAGAAAACTATCTATAAACAAAAATGACGTATTCAAAGCATGAAATATCAACAAGATAATAAAAAATGTCATTTTGATTAGTCTAGATGATGTCTAATCTAACATTAAAAAAATAAATGAAAACAATTGGTCAAACAACAAATAACGTACCGAAAAACAGAGAAAAATATGCTATAAAAATATCTAATAATATGTCATAAAAGTAGAGTTATTAGAAACTAAAGATAACAAAAATAAAAAACAATATAATATAAAATAAAGAAATAAATAAATAATATCGACAATCAACATTAAAACAAATACTATCATTTACCAACAAAGATGAAAGAAAGGAGGGTGGCGATAAGGAAAAAAGTTTGAGAAGGTTAAGGTTTTCATTTTTTTAATAGAAAATGGAAATTTTAGTTTTAAAATTAAACAAAAGAATTTTAAAATGCTATAAAACATTTTATTGATTATTTTAAAGGTTTTATTTGAATAAATTGATGACTCAAAGAAAATCGATAAAGTGGATGATATTTGTGGTTAAGACCAAGAGTGATGACTGATGCGGTGAAAAATTATAAAATAATTTCATATTAATTTATGTATTTAAATAATATTTTTATTTTCTATACGACATATATCATATTTGATATTTGATATTTGTATTTTAATTTTAATTTTTTTATTAAATTGTTTAATATAATTGTTTGACAATTTTTATTTAGAGAAGGAATAAGGGAAATTTTTGCTCTAATAAATATTGAACTCACAACTTAGGGAAGTGAATTATTCTCTTCGGATAGGCCTGTAAACGAATCGAACGAACACGAACGAGAATATGTTCATGTTTGTTCGTTTAACTTTAATCGAACAAATGAACGAACACGAACATAAACGAATATTTTTTTTGTTCGTGTTCGTTCGTTAAGGAATGCAACATGTTCATGTTCGTTCATTTAAATGATAAACGAACACAATAAACGAACACAAACGAACATATGTAAACGAACATAATGAATACAATAAAAGAATGTAAACGAACATAATGAATACAATAAAAGAATGTAAACGAACACAAATGAATAAGCATAAACGAACACAATAAATTAACATAAACGAACAAAAATGAAAATGTATTTTTTCTTTCCTAACAATTTTATGATTATATTTTATTTAATTGTTTTGAGCTTTTTTATTTGTATTTAAAATTAATTGAATTTTAAAATATTTATGGATATCAGATTAAAACTTATTTGGCTTTAATATTTTAAATGTGTCTAGAGAGATTGAGCTATACATAAAAAAACACACATAAACAAATGAACATAATAAACAAACATAAATGAACGAACATATTACCGAACGTTCACGAACGTAAATGAACGAACGAGCACTATGTTCATGTTCGTTCATTTAATTAAACGAACACAAAATCTTGTTCATATTCGTCCGTTTAATAAATAACCGAACATAAATGAAATTCCCGCCGAACGGTTCATGAACGGTTCGTTGAACATTCAGTTCGTTTACAGGCCTATCCTCGGAGTTCCTGAATATCTGTATTATTCTTAATGCTTCAGGTTTCAAGTTAGGATGTCTACCAATCAGGTATCTTGGGGTCCTTCTTGTGACTCGTAAGCTCATTGAGAAGGATTGTTTGCCCTTGCTGGAGAAGATCATGCTTAAGCTTGGGCAATGGTTCAGTAGGATGCTAAGTTATGATGGAAGATTGCAACTTATCCGGTCTTTGTTGACGGGCATTACTAATTTTTGGTGCGGGCAGTTGATTTTGTCCATGGCTGTGATTAATAAAGTTAACCAATTATGCATGTGTTTCTTATGGAAAGGTAGAGATGTTAGTGTTATGGGTGCAAAGGTTAATTGGCGCACTGTGTGTTCTTTGCGAGCTGAAGGGGGTTTAGGTTTAAAAGACATTTGTTGCTGGAACAAAGCTTGTGTGATGCAACTTATGAGGGCTCTGCTTGCTGGGGAGGGGTCCCTCTGGGTGGCTTGGGTTCGTTCCTACGTCTTAAGGGTACTGATTTTTGGGTTGCTAGGTGTAAAGCTGATGTGAGCTGGACTTTGAAGAAGATGTTCAAACTTAGAAATGAGGCTACTGGTGTCCATACTTCAGTTTCGAGTGGTCAAATGGTTAATACAACTTGGATATGGGGAGGTGTCCCTTGGCAGAGGCTTATTTGGTTTCCTATGCACACTCTAAAGCATGCTACCATTGCATGGGTGTCTATTTTGGATCGTCTGCATACTAAGGACAAGCTTTTAAAAATGAACATTGTGGTTGACCCTATTTGTATTTTATAAAAATACACGCGTCACATGATACATTTTTAAAATACATATACTACATTGGCCATTTTAAAAAATACACGTACCACATTAAACATTGTCAAAGTATATGTACCAAATGTGGTATTATCTCTTTTGAAAATACGAAATGACTTAATAATTGAATGACACGTATAACAATTCACAATTGTTTGAAAGTTCTTTTTTTTTTTCTCGAGGGAACTCACCATGCCATTTTTATAAATAAATTAAATAATTAGATGGGAAAATGATATAATTTACGTATCGATTTATCAATCAAACATTTATTATATTATATTTATTTTACAATTTATTAACATTAATGTCGTATTTAAAATTACCCAAAATAGACAGTTGTCAGCAAAAAGGTGGCATTTAGTGATTGATAAAAAGAGTGAAAGTGAAGAAAAATAAATAAATAAATAAATAAATAATGAAAATACTGAGGAATTAAATTTGTATTTATCATCATGTGTTAGTATCCCTCATTATTCTCAACTGCCACAATTACTCTTGCATTTATTTGTGTTCAATGGTTATATATTATAAAACTTATGGTAGGAGGATTTTTTTAATTTAATTTTTATATTACACGAATGAAATTATTTCAGCGGTTAAAAAGATGGTTGTTATTTTTAGAGATTCTAGGTTCGAGCACCAAAGACTATATGGGTGTTTAAGTTTTAATTGTCAAATAGTTAAAAAAAATCTAATTTTTATGGTTACAACATCAAGATTCGAACTCTTAACTTTATTTAAGAGATTTAACGTTTCATTTCATTTGGCCAATAAACAACTGCATGGACAGACGTAGAATTTTATGTTAGGGATCTACTTTTAAAATTTTAACGGGATACAAACTTATAAAATTTTAGGCGGGTAAAAACATATTATCAATACAAAATATAAAAAATATCTAAAATATATGAAAATTTAAAAATTTTAAGGAATATTTACCCCAGTCGTTCCCTCTCAATCCATCTCTAAATAGTTGGTATTTTTAATAGTCTTTTTTTATATAACCTTCGATTTTCTATCTATTGATCGACTAATCCGGATCGGATACTGCAGAGGCAAGGACGACCCTCCCAACCCGATTTGCTCCATTCGCAAACGACAATATTCAAACATTTGACATTACTCAAGGGATCTAGTGTCTCATCCCACTAATCTAATATTTACTTATATTTTCTTTAAATACTCAAACCACCCAACTTTCTTTGTTTACATAATTACCCTTTTCTTCTTTCATATTTTTTCTTTAATGTACTATCTCTAGTTTTAAGTTTGAGCAAAGTACTCCAAGAATGTTTTTCAGGACTCCTTTGTGTCGGTCAAGTTAAACTTTTTATTTGATACAAAGTGGTCTTGTACTATCCAAAAATGTACTTTAAGACTCCTTTGTGTAGGACAAATTAACATTTGTATTTGGTACAAAGTGGTCCTAATTTGAGAATGAAAGAAAAAGAGTTAAACTTGTTTGAAATTATCTCCAACGAGTATGTCACGATAGGAAATAACCAATTGATTCAGAATTTCGATTTCCCCCTCGAAATTCATATATCTATTAAATGAATATAAGGATAATTATTAATATTGTTATCAATTTAGACCTACTAATTACATTTAAAAGCATAGAATCAAATTATATTAAAACTAAAGTAAATAGATTAAATTATAGATTTTACCACAGTTTAGGGACCTTATTAATAGTTTTCTCTTATCAGATTGCAACAAAAAACTAGCTGAGAACTGACTCAGGGAACACCAATCGTATCATGGTGGTCCAAGAGCCATCATCATTCCATCAAGCACGGACACTTCCAGGAGAGTGTCCAAATGTCGGACACGATATTAATCTTATTAATCGAATTAAGATTCATTTAATATAGTATTAGTTTTAATCTTTTATTATACATTATTATGCAATAATTTTTTAAAAAACTATCGTATTTGTATCGTATTATATCGGTATTATGTATTGTATTTTCAGACCAAAACTAAACAAAACCACAGTGAATCATTCTTTTGTCTATCAGTTCAACTGAGCATTGGATCGTTGTCTCCCCATCAGCAAGCGATGTTCCAATTTCCGAGAAACCAAACAAGAAGTAGAATTGAAATAACATACAAATTTTACTGAGAAATACATACATACATATGTGTGTGTGTACATATGTATTCTCATTAGAAAGTTTGAGCAATTGGATCTCTTAAAGCTAGTTCAAATACTATATTATATATATATATATATATATATATATATATATATATATATAGATCTAATGTCTTAACTTTTTCTGGTTTTATCGATGATTGTTGTTGTAATATCATGGAGGAAATCGAGCAAAACGGTGCTCTTGCATTTGGGGCATTTAGGGTCATTTCCGGACAGCATCACGTACATAAGGCACCTAGGGCATCCAACGAGCAACATCGTCTCCGTCTCTACAGCCACCGCATCGAGACTAGTACTGCTAGAGTCGACTTCCAACAGCTGGTTCATCTCCGATGACACGCATGAACTCGGAGGAGACGTTGCCGCGGTTGGTGATTCACCTCCTGGGTTATCCCTTGGTGGTGATAGGTTCAACTTCAACTCAAGCCTCGGTCCATTTCCATGACTCATTTCCCCCCTCTAGGTTTAGGTATGTATAGAGAATCAAACCTGAAATATATATATAAACTAGTTTTATGTATAAAATCAAACATGAAATGAAACATGTAAAAAACCCAGAAAAATAAAGTTATTTTAACATGTATATACATACATACGTATATAAATATATGTATATGTAGATAGTGACAAAAAAGAAACAAGCTTGGGACAATATTTTTGGCTAGTTTTCTCTAGTTTTACGTACGAAAACGAAACATGCAAGAAAACCCAGAAAAAAACCCCAGAAAAACAAGTTATTTCAACATATAAAACGATTCAATTGCACCCAAAGAAACAAAGATTGAATGTAATTAAGGTACCTTGAAGGTGAAGGAAAGGCTGAGACAATGAAGAGCTTCAAATCAAAGTGGGGTGTTTGAGGAAGAAGAAAGGCAAAATTTATAAAGGGGGAGAGATGGGTTCCCATTAAAAGCCTTGTTAATTAAATGGAGATGAAAGATTGGTTGAATTTGAAGACTGCAAAAATAAATATGTATTAATAATTGCTTGATAAAAAAACCCTTAAGAAATATGCTGGAAATGGTGAATGGGCAGTAACTATTTTGTATCATGAAGAAGGAAAGGTTTCATTCATTGCTTTCTCTTACAGTGATTTGGATCTTTTGGGGGAGTGTAATGCAATCTACACCATGTAAAGATATATAATTTGAAACCCTAAGGGGTTTTTGGTTCAAGGATTGTGGGCATGTTTGGTTGGCCGGGAATCTCATTCCCGGTAATGTTTTATTACTAATAGTAGATTTTTTTGGGTATATTACCGGGAATTTCATTATCTCCCTTCCCTTAGGTATTGTAACATTACCGGCGTTTTGGACTAAAATACCCTTAATTTTTTATTTTTTTTCAAAAATATCATTCTTCTGTCATTGAATAATAAAAATTCTACAAAGGTTAAATTACATATTTATCCTTAAACTATTTTAGATTTACAAAAAAAAGTCTATAATTAAAATAGTATATGAAGTTCAGGGGTTAAAATTTTTTTTACCCTTTCATTAAACCTTTTGTATATTTTTAATTTTGTAAAAAATATATATAAATATTGAATTTAATTTTTTCAAAGAAATATATAAATATTTTACAATTTGTAAATATATACAAATATATATAAGGACAATTTGGTCAAATATACATTCCAATAATCTTTTATTCCTTTAACCAAACACGATAATCTTACATTCCTGCTAAACCAACCAAACACAAAATACAACATTCTCAGTAATCCTATTCCCTGGTAATATTTTATTCTCACTGGTAATCTTACATTCCGTGAACCAAAAGCAACCTAATAGCTTTTATGCAATCTACACCTGTTTGATGAATAAACAAGTCGAGAGAAAAAACGATGATGTATGATGAATAGAGGCTCGAAATTGAATATAAAATTTTGGAGAGTCCAAATATAATTTTATCATTGTATTATCTTATAATTTTATAATGTTAAAGGGATTACATTGAAATTCTAATATTATTTAATGGCCAAAATATAATTTACTAATACATTTAACTTGAAACTTTGAAATTCACTTAAATTGGAAAATTTCCCAATTTGGGGACCAAGCCCCCGCCTGTCCCATTTAAGCCTTTGGAGTGTATTCCAATTAGAGCGGTAGATGAGAGACAGATCACGAGCTATTCGAGATCAACTCGATAAATACTCGGATTGAATAGAGTCGACTCGAATTCTTAACGAGCCGAAACGAGCTACTTGATATTCGACTTGAAAAGCTCGTGAACAGCTCGAAAATTTAATATATTATGATTTTATTTTTTAAAATAAATTATTAATAATATTAATATTTATGTACTGTTTTTTTAATATAGTAAGATTTTCATGTATTTAAGGTTCATGTTCGAGTTTGAGGCTTCAACGAGTTAAGTTTAACTTTTTTTTTTTCATTTCGAGCCTTTTCGAGCTGCTCACGAGCTTCAGTTTAGGATTTCGAGTTCGAGTTGAGCTTGAAAATTTTAAACTCGGAAATTTTCGAGTCGAATCAAACTCAATTTCAGAGTTTTCTAGTCAATTCGAGCTCAACTCATCTCGTTTACACCCCTAATTCCAATAGGTTTAAATAAATTTAAATTTCGAATCTTAATATATTTATCGCTAAATTACGATTGTCTAGACAGACAGACACATACCGACATAAATGCATAGTGGTAAAAAACACCAAAATTTCAAAGGAAATGGACCAAAGTTTCTGTATTAGATTTTGGGAAAACTTTTTCCGGATAATTAAATTCAGTCCTCCAATTTCTATGCTTCAATGGTTTAGGACATAATGTAAGCCCATGCTTTTCATTTCCTTGCTTTACTTGTTTCGCTAGGAACATCCGGGTTTTCCAACAAGGCCACAAGTCCATTATTTGATTAAAGCAACTATTTTTTTCTTCAATTCGATCGAATATTGTCGAAGTCTAATCTAAACGAGTAACCTATCCTAAAATTATCGATACTTATTTTTAAGTTCAATTTCTTGGGGAGGTAAAGCAATTTTCTCAAGTTCGGGGATTCCATTTGGACATAATAGTTTTGCTATCAAAGAACGGATACAAAATTTTATATTGAAGTATGAATTTTAAAGAAATTATATTAAATTTTTAGAATATAAAATTAAATCATCAATAAAAAATACAGACGTTTACGGGATTTGTCAAATTCTAATCAAACCAGAAATTAAGACATAAAGCTTTTGGCTGCCATTGGCAACGAAGGGTTAGTGATGCTATACCCTCCATCCACCATCAAATTGACGCCGCTCAAATACTTGGACTCGTCACCGGCTAAATACAATGCCGCTGCCGCCACGTCTTCCACCTCCAAAATCTTCCCTTTCAAGTTACCGGCCTCCGAAACCAAGCTTTCGAGCTCTTCTTTCTCTATCCCGGTCCCGTTCGTCAACAACGGTGTTGCGACTGCATACGGTGAAATGCAATTAACCCTTATCCCATACTGCGCCATCTCCACACACAAACTCTTAGCCAACCCCACCACCGCATGCTTCGACGCCACGTACGCATGCTCGGAGAAACCGCCCAACACCGACAACACTCTAGCGGTGAAGAGAATGCAGCCTTTCTTCGCCGGGATCATGACCCTGGCGGCATGTTTAGCGCCTAAGAATCCACCGTACAAATTGATACCCATAACGTTCTTGAATTTTTCTTTGCTTGAATCAAGAATACTGGTCTCCAAACCGCCTACCCCGGCATTGTTGAACATGATGTCGAGCTTCCCGTACTCTGAAACAGCTAAATCGACGGCGTTTCGAACATCGGAATCGCATGTAACATCACAGTGAACATAGGAGATGGTTTCATGGCCGCCAAGTTGTTCACTAATTGAGCTTCCGTGATCATCTTGAACGTCTGCAATCACAACTTTGGCTCCGTGTTGAACAAAAAGTCGAGCTGTGCTCCCGCCAATGCCACTGGCTCCACCTGTTATTAATGCCACTTTACCTTCTAGCCTATAACAAAGGTTAAATTAATTTCTCGGAATCGAGTGTTACAGTCGAGATAAGAACATGTTATTTTACATCATCTTAACACTGTTTTGTAAAATTATTTTTTCTACTGATAATATATCAAATAACAATTCTTAGAAAGATACCGACTTGTATAACTAGACTTAATATGAACGCATGCATTACACCAACAACTATTAGTTTGAATGTTATATTGATGGTCTTACGAAATGATTCACACTGTATTGAATTCATCAAGTGATCTCATTGATTCAAAGTAATGTTGTTATCTCTAGAGATTTTAGGTTTGAGTAGCTACGTTTGCAATGTGTGTGCGTTGTCAACGGTTAAAAAAAATTCCGAATAAATATTATCTTATAATCACCACTTAATTAAAAAAATACGTGAAAACCAGGCCCGTCCCAAAAGATACATAGGCTCTGTGCTATTTTTTTAAAATGAGACCCTAAAATATTATATAATAAGACAAAATTGTAAAATATCAAAATTTAAGAAGAATGAAACTAGGATAGACATAAATAAGAACTTTTTTTGTCCATTAAACACCATAAATTTGAATTTTTTTCTTGGAAAATTGGTTACAATTGAATTCTTGAATTTTTTCTAGATACTTTTGTGTAAAGTACACAAATGGTTCCCGAACTATAGGGCATTGCTTTATTGAGTCTCTCGATTATTAAAAGATACAAAATGATTCTATGACTATAGTACGTTGTTTTGTTGAGTCTCCAATTATTAAAAGTTACAAAATGGTCATCCCACTATTCGTATGTTCCAAACTGTCTTTTTATGTTAAAAAATTGACGACAGTCTAAGCTGAATGTTAACCAACTGACTGAAATATGCTAAAATCTTATCTTATAATCTCCAACGACTATCATATCTCAGGCAACATGTTAACGTCCATCTCAAAAGACTATAAACTTTTTACGAAAAAAGGACGAGTTTAAAATATATGAATAGTCGGGTGATCATTTTGTAACTTTTAATAGTCTAATAGTCGAGGGACTCAACAAAACAAAACCATATAGTATGAGGACCGTTTTATAACTTTTAATAGTCAATAGATTCAACAAAGTAACACTCTATAATTAGGACACCATTTGTGTAATTTACCAAAACTTTTAATTAAATGAAAATTATTGTCTTTGTTAAAGATAATCGGAAAAATTACCATATGAAGTTTTTTACAAGATAAACTATTCTCTTAAATTTAATAACCTAAATACACTTGCACTTATAGAACTATATGAAAATTAGGGTATATTTAGGGGTCAATTTGTCTATTAAACTAAAATTATTTGATGACATGAAAAAAAACAAAGCGTGGCACTACTTCATTGGCTCAATAGTAAATTAAACGTGAATAGAAGAGTCAAAAACACAAAGCCAAGCCGAAAAAAATGGTGCTTTGGTCATATCCGCCGACGTCGAAGCAAATAGCTTTAACAATCGGTTTCTGCTTCACCGGAGCTTCTTTTATAGCCGCCGGAGCTTACCTCTCTTTTGTCAATATCTGTCCTCAACAAGAACGCGCCAAAGCCAGTAGCCAATTCGTCAAAGACCGACTTCGAAAGATGCTCGACGAGTAGTCGCCGCCCCAGAAGAAAGAACGCCCAAAAGAGTAAGGATAATAGGACGCCTTTTCAGGGTTTAAAATTTCTGGATTTTTGCTTTATTTGCAAAATAAAAATCAAGATTTAGTGATTTTGATAATTTATGAATTTAATATGTCTCGAGCAGCTCAGTTGATAGAACGCAAGGCTCTTAACCTTGTGGTCGTGAGATCGAGTCTCACGGTGGACAATTCATAATTCTGACTGCCGGATGTCTCCCACAGAAACTGCTCTCAACCTGACGTTAGAGACAGCCTACTATCATACCTCCCTCTTACCCCATTACACAGGATCAGCTAATTTTTTTCGTATAGTAATTTAACAAAGGCTACATTCCTCAAGTGACTGATTGACAAAGTTATTGCAGCAAAGCATAGCATAGTTTACAAATGGTAGAATAATCCTACACGTCTAAGGAGCTTACATCATGCAAATTATGCATTTAAAGAGAGAATAAAAAAGAAAAAAAAAAGTTAAATATATTCATACAATTTACAGTCCACATGAAAAGATATAAAGATGTTAAAACCAACCCATAAGTTTCCGATGTCCGTTGCAACCAAATTGACCCTCAAAACTCTGTTTCAATGTCCATTGCACCTCCAACTTGTACTATGGTGAATTAGGAATTAGGTCCTCTGTAACTGATTTGATCAACCCCTTATCACATACTCCTGTGGCTGCGAATCGGCCGCCCTAATATGATGCACATCTCAGGAAGTGGGAAGAAAAAAACAAACTCCAAATACCAATGACAACGCATCTCTCCCTCCTGAAGGTGCAGACAGAATGGTGATAGGAGGAGAAAGCTCCGGTTTAAGAGACTCCAATTCTTACTCTTTCTTCTCTCGATACTATAAATTAGGTCTGTCGATGCCTGTGAGCAGTCTTTTTTACCGTGTCGGCAAACATGATTAACATTCATTTTTTATGCATCAACACCTTGTCCTCCGTAAACAATTGGTGTGTAGATCAAACCAAGTGTCAAAGTTTAGATAGAAAATCAAAGAAAATAAAAAGAATGAGGTGCACGTTTGAACATAAAAATGAAGTTTCTTGAGGATCCACTCAAAGGTGCTCACATGTGATGCACCTTCTGCAATGCCTGATAGAACATGTCAATGAATTGATCGTCCTAGCAGAAGAATAAAACAAAGAGTCAATAATTAGAAACAAATCAGAAGCCTTCACCATGAGCAGGGATTGCAAAATGTGCATCATTGATAGGTCCTCTATAATAATCTTTTGGCCAAAAACAGCTGATATAAATTAACATTCCAAGTGAAAAATAGATGAAAATATATACATACCTGAACAAGCATTAGTAGTGCATCACGGACTTTATCCCTGCTAATCAGAGATCCATTGTGCAAAGTAGGCAGTGCACCAGGAGTGAGAGATGCAGGTGGAGTAGGTGGTGGAAAGGGTTGAAGCATTGGAGTGCCATAAGGACGTTGTGGAATGACGGGTGGATGAAGAGTAGAAATGGTTGGATTTGATGAAGAGGGAGGTGGCATCATCAATGAGGAGGAGGAAGGGGGTACAAAAAATGAAGAAGGCTTTACAAGATTAGCCACTCGGTTACCACTACCTACTGAATCAAGCGAAGGTTGAGCAGAAAGAGGAGGGGATGACATTGATGGAGCAAGTGTAAGAGTCGATATGGCAGATGGTGCATGAGAAGAAAGAGGGGTGGTCGAGATAGAATGGTAAGGCTGTGCTGGTATTGTACTATTTGGAGCATTACTTCCGAGATTCATAGCAGCCTGAAAATAGTAAAACCAAAAAACCTTGAGATCAGACACCGGATAAATATCAGGCCCTGAAAATAAAAAAAATGTAAGTGTCACAGTCATCATACACTAAAGAAGTTAACAAATGATGAATCTTGAGGGGCATCAATAGCAGGAGAGGTAGTTGCCGGTGGCTCCAACGGGCCTTCGATTACAGACATGCTAGGAACTGCTTCTAGTTCTTCAAATTCACTACACAATAAAAAAAATGCTTAGGACACTTGAACACAATAGGAAGACAAAGAAATTAAGGCAGTAGATACTACCAGGTGGAGCAAGATAGTCTAGTACAAGGATGGTGGACTTCCAAGAATCAATATCAAAATCATCAAATTCCATGACAATCATTATTACAAATTTACCAGTATGACTCATAATAGGTCTTGAAAGTGTTCTATTGAATTAGATGAACTTTATAACCTATTATAAAGGAGTTTAGCAAATTCTTTAAAGAATAAATTTTGCACATAAAGCTCCTGCCTCACTCATCTACTCCCAGCATATATTACCAGTTCCAATTTTACAGTTCCTACATTTTCCCTTCACTTTCACCTATTTTCTTGAACTGCCACAAGATATGGCACCCCACAATCAACTCTAGTCCAACTCTCATCCCCCTTTGCCTAAACCCTTCACTTGTTTGCAATGTTGCCTCACTCGCACCAAAAGGACCCTTTACACACACATCACAGACAAATTGGCAAGATATTGTTTTGTTCAAAATGGCATAATGTAACTACCAAAAGCATTAAGTATGACTGGCTAAACAACTAGAAACATCCTGCAGTCTGTATGGGAAAATTTAACAGTTAATACGTCCTAAGGCTTTGTTATAGATGCATCATCAAACTAATTACCTTGCACTTGAAGATGCTTTTGGCTTTGTAGGAACTTTTGAGTATGCATTAAGTATTCTGTGAAGAAGAAACAAATAAAATGTTAGTATTTAAAATCATCAAAAGAAACAGACCAAGAGCTTATCTTATCGAAAAAATATCTCAAAAAACACACTCGTATATATCTTATTGAGTGCTTTTATGGTTTTCTTAAACTACAGAAGTTTAAAGGTAGCTATAATGCAAGGAAAATTTTGTTTCATATATTGTGGTCAATTGTTAAGTCACATTCAACATACCATATTGCATATCATTCAAAAGTTTACCGCTTGATAGTTGTAGTTGTAGAGCTAAAAACACACATTCTCTGTTAGACAGATTAAAGTGCATTGATCCCACTTATCTAGAATCTTGTTGGCACATTTACGAATACTTAAAAGTTCAATAACCATAAGATTGTAGTTAAATCGAAACTACATCTCAAAGGAAGGCTTTCAACCACTGAACCCTTTCTCTTGGGGAAAAACAACTGTGTGAAATAAGTACAACAGAAGGTATAAAAGATCTAAACCTCCATATTTGACTTCACTTGGGATGACCATGTTCATGTTCAAACTTCAAAGTTGATAATTGGAAGTTAGATAAATGGACAAAAACAAGATGCTATACCTACTAAAGAGGCTTGCAACTTTCTCACATTCACGAGGATTATAGAACCAAATGCCATTAACTTCTTGTGCAGCATTTCGATACAGCAAGTATGGACCTTGAACCTCGTACTCAAAATCTCCCAATAAATTCTCCACTAAATTATCTGTTCGTTAAAAACAACTTTCATACCAAATCAGGCAAAACTGTAGGAAAAGGTATGTACTTTTTCATTAAAATTAAGAATTTCTACCTGTGTTTCGCCGATTCATTACAATGAACTGGAACCGAGGTTGAGTACTCCTTAAAACCAAGGGAAATCATCAATCATTTCAATGAGCTAAATCATTTCCCTAAGTTAACTACTTGCTTCTAACTTCTAAAAACGTTAATGCTAGAAATAAAAGGCCCAAAAACATTAACTTATTTTACCTCTTAACAACAAAGAGAGATCCTTCAACATCTTTTCGACTCTAAAAAAAATTAAAAAAAATCAAACTTAAAATACTTTAACGATCTAAACTTTAAACCAAATCAAGAACAAAAAAAAATAGATCCAAAAAACTTATGAACAGATTTGCGAGAAAGAGAACCCATTGACTGCTGTCGATGTTGAATTCGTAGAAGGTGACGTGAGCAGCAGTGATCAGGATCTCCTCTATGAAAGCATCAATTCTTTGGAGAACAGTGAGATTGAGCATCTTCGTGCTCTGTTGATCGAGATTCGGCATCAATTTCCCAGTCTGAGACATTTTACGATCCTAGTAACCGAATCTCTAAACCCTAAATCCCAATTTTCTTAACGTTTTCCCGGGAAGCTTCACCGTTCGTTTTGGGGATTTAACATTACAATCGCCGATCAATTTCTCTAAATATTCGGCAGTTAGATGTTTACTTTACTGATTTCACAAATGACCAAAATAACCTCCTGAATTTTGGGGAATATATAATAAATTCACGTAAAAGAAATATTAATGATATATTAATATCTTATTCATTCATTCATAGTATATAAAATTATACATTATTAGTATGTCTAATATAAACCCTTTTAAATTAATCTAGGGATAATGTCACATTTACTACATGTAATTTGATCAAATATCTAATATGGTACATGTACCTTTAAAACGTCGATGGGTGTCTATACTTCGATAAAATACCAATATGGTACTTGAACTATTATCATTATAATACATGTAACTTTCTTATAATTAATTTGACATTTACTAATAATGTTAACTCAATAATAATAATAATAATACACTAAATGCTAGTTTAGATAGAACATTTACTAATAGTTAGACATTTTGATAGATAAATGGGATAATAATACACGAATGATGCCACGACGGCTCCGCTCACTTTCCGGCAAAAATCTCCAAATTGTTGGCAAATGGATAACCAGTTTGTGTCAGGGTTGTCGCTGTGAGTCAAGTAAACTATGGCTGCAACCGCTGTGAGTCAAGTAAACTATGGCTGCAGCCATCGCTGCGGACGTTGTGCCCAGAGACGATACCGCCTGCCTTTACAATAAAAAAATGTAGGTAATACACGATAAAAGTAATAAAGATGTATCGTCATTATTGTTGTTGTGGTCTTAGATCTTTCATCACAAAATATAAATAGTGACATAAATGAAACTTTATCACTATATCTTATCTCCTAAATATATATATCATGTTTGTGTTGTATTTTTGTATCTTGTTTTAGTTACTTTATTGATCTATAATAATTAAACCAAGTGTTGGAATATTTACTATATCCAAAATAAATAAGATGATTCTCGGTAGGGCATCAAATAGAGTTTCGAAAATGTGATAACGGCTGTGATATTGCAGTCGCGCCATCATCCGAAACTGGTTTTCATGGTTTTTGCGGTGGGTCACAGATTCACACCAATCTCGATCGATTGCGTCCGCAATTTAACGGGAAACGGATGCTTGCGCCGATAACAGGACACAACAACCGTGATTCCAAGACAAAAACAAAAATCAACATTCACTGCACAAACATTGGTGGCGCAATTTTTTTTTTGTTTCAGACAATAATGGGGAGAATGAGGAAGGGGGAGGCAAAAGGCCAGAACCAGAAAGGTCAAAGAAAGGGAGGAAAAAAGGTCGAGGGAGGGGTGATTTATTTCTTCCTTTTTTAATAATTTTTAAAATATAATTTTAAAGGATATATTAATTTGAGATCCCTCCTTCTTTTAGAATTTATAATTTAATCCCTAGTTTAAAATGTAAACTTTAATTTTTATTTAATTTAGTCTTAATTTCAGTAATATAAAATTATGCAATTTAAATTTTACAGTTTTATTTTAATTATATTTAATTTAATCTTTTTAGGATAAGTTGTGCGACATTTAAAAAAATTCATGAATGCGATACTTGCAATGACATCCGTTATGTCCGCAACTGTGATAAACGCAACCGAAAACGTAACCGCAAACGCTATTTAAAATCCTGATTCTCATAATAACTATATTAGTACAAGTCATGGTGACAACGGAGAATCGAAGGGAAAGGACGAGATAGCATGATAATATTGCTATTGCAATGACGAGGAATCTGCAAGCAAATTATTTGTGGATCAAGAGGTTAATGTCGACGACCAACCGGTGATAGAAAAAATCGAAATTGCAAAATAACGATTTATTTGAGCTTTTGATATTGTTAGAATATATCTATTATATCTATCCATTTATATGTGTGCAGGGCCTACCCAATACATGTGTCAGATGTGCCTTGATCGGGCAACATATATTTGAGGGACATCAGTTTATAAGCACATATATACAATATATATATATATATATATTTGACCCAAAAAATTAGCCCAAAATCCAATGAAGCAAGCTGCCAGTGCCGCACACCAACTCAAGCCATCCTTGTCGTAATCACCAAATCTACAAGCAGTAACCCAAATAATCAAAATTCAATATCTACTAAATCATCCACAAAGTCAAAGAAGAAAAAGCAACCTAAATCCTTAAATTTTCGGGATTTTTCTTCACCAAAAAACGAAGAAAAATCAACAAGAGGACAAGCAGGATTCGATGGAAAAAATAGAAAAAGAGAACCATTTCGAGCACAAAAAAGGGGAAGAAAGAGGATTTGAAAAAAATCATTCAAGAAAAGGATCATTAGCAAGCGAAATACACGAAAATGGAGTGAGCAAAGGCAACCATTCGATTAAAAATCCTCATCCTATTCGAAACACTTGTAAGTAGGTTTTATTATTTACAGAGGTATAGATTTTCCTTAAACAATACCATGCAACCATTTTCTGTTTTTTATTGTTCTTGAATCAAAATAAAAAAGTAAAATATGGTTAGATGTTTACCGAGGTTATTTGAGTCATCGGAGTCCAAGACCGAAGCTTTGGATTTCTTTCGAGAGGCTGGCCTCAGGACTTTCGATCGGGGAAGACGAAGTGAGTGGAGAGAAGGGAGAGGGCCGAGCGGCTAAGGGTTCTTTGCGTGAGTGGAGTTTAGGGTGTAAATTAATCTGTGACTCACCTTTACATGGCAATAGGGGACACGTTTTGTCTGGTAATACGACAATGGTAGCATGGAATTAGACACCTACTCATCTCCATGATTCATTGGTCATTTTGATTTTGTGTTTTGAACATTGCAATTTCCAGGCTATTTTCCTTGGTTTACGATATTCTTGCCCCTAACAAACCACACATTTCTCCTCTTATTTTATCCTTTTCACAACTTTAATTATTATTATCTTTTATCAATGGTCAATTCCCCCCTTTATGTTCATTTCTTTTGCATATTTTGTTTCTCTAAGGTTTAATTCTGTTTTCGGTCCTTGTACTTTTGCATATATAAATTTTCTATTATAGGGATGTCATTATCTTTACCGATTCTAAATTTTATCTATAATTTTAGGGTCTATGTTAAGAGTTCATAACTGGATCTTTCAATAATATCATTTCGTTTTAATTCAGACCCTTAAGTAATAACATTGTTTGAATTTTGATTGTGTAGTAGCAAACTTAGTTTGATGAAGAAAAAAATCGAGACATTTTTTAGAGTGATTGCTTCTAATTATTTTGATTTCATCATTAATTTTCCAGATCAATTGATTGTGAGAAAGAACAAGTCAACTACATTAAATTCGGTTACCGGTAAGGTTGTATCTTTCCCTACTAATATATCTGTTTTATTGTTTACTTGCTACTATATTTGTTTTATTGATTACTTTTAAATATATTACCTCGAAAACAACTATCGGGTGCCCAAAATAGAAAACGAAAAAAACAAGAACAAAAAATGGCTAATTCTTTACATGGATCTTTAGATAGATTTATTGTTAGACCGGTTAAACCTTCTAATAATCTGATTGGAAATTCCAATGATTCACCTAATACTTTTAATAATCCTATTGTAAATTTATGTGCATAAAATTATTATCTCGCCCAAGGCATTAAAATTCATTGGACCAACCCTGTATGTGTGTTATAGTGACGAACCGGAATGTGGGAAGATCGTCGTAGCTAGCTTGGACATGGAAAAACCGACATAAAAACGGGGCCGTTTCGTTGCTGGTCCCCATGGTGGCAGCGGCAATTATGGCGGCGAGTCTCGGGATGAAATCGAAAATTCCCGTTACTTTCTTCAGTCCGCTCTTTTTTCCTTTCCCGACGGCGATCAATGGTGTTTTGCCTTTCAGTTCATCGTTGGACTCAACATCGAGGCTTGCATTATCGTCACTCTTACGCATTTTCCTACACTTTTTTCAATCATTAGTCCTAAAATAACCAAGAAAAACATGACAAATTAAATCAGGTTGTCTTGTTTCATTAAATTTTGAGTTCATAGGAATACATGAAAAACTACAATCTTTAAACAAGCCAACCAACAGTGCTACTATCAAAACCATTAAAAAGAGAATGGCAATGCTTAAGCAAAACAAAAACTGTCCTCGTAATATACAAACCAGGGCTGAATTTCTACGGTTCCTCGAGTCCGGGACGCGAAAACGACAACATATTCAGTAGCCGATTTTTCCCAATCTGCTATTCTTCTGAAACGAGCAAGATAAAATTATACTTCCACCAGCATTCCGTCTCCCCGAAAAAATACGAATACTATTTGTGATAGTTGAACCTTAAGGGAGGGTTGTACCCCGAGAAGGTAATGAACACACGGCCGAAAATGCTAACAATGCATCTGAAATTTGGATGTCAGCTCAGCTTGCCTGGATTTGTAGTCTGATTCGATAGATCCCCATTCTCCTCAGAAGTGAGATTCAAAGTAGGTGATGGGATCTGATTAAATCCTTTAGACTTGACCAGTCCAAGGGAGGTGTCGGTTGGGATTGTGGTTTTTTCTGGTTCAACAGTTTTGACAGTTAACTCGTCTGCTGCATCCTGTTTTTGTAGCATTTCCATAAGCCGTAAAGATGGGACATCACCCTTACAATACCTGCGCCACATGTTCCGGTATGTTGCCTCTAAACCGCTGATAAAGTTTTGTCCGTCGCAGACAGGTGATTTGGACATCAGCTCTCGAAGGCTCATTCTCAGATTCTGGAGGGCAGTGACGTCTGATGCTAGTTGTAGTGCCAGTTGGACGTATTCATCTTCATTGCGGGCTACCAGATGTTTTAACCCTACATTGTAAGTACCCAAATGCTATATAGTTACCCGGTGGCACGTAAATCATAAAAAAAATATAAACGAATAATAGATATTAACAAGAAGAAGTGACGCTCCTTACCAACTTTGCTGAGAAGACTAACACCGACATTATGAGCATGAACCGAACCGGCCATGGTAACACATGGGACTCCCATGTATAGAGATTCACACGTTGTCGTAGTTCCGGCATATGGAAAGGTGTCCAAACTACATAAAGTTACGTAGCAAACATTAGAAATTCTAAAAAGGAGCATAAAATATGGGATTTATTTTCCGAGTTAAACACCTGGTAAACTTAATCCAAAGGACAGATGACACATAGCACTGGATGATAACTCGACTTATAAGCGCTGATGGGGTAAGCACTTGACTTAGAACATCTAGAATACGTTCAAAATCAAAACTCAAACTTTTAAGAAAATAATCAGAAGTTCTACCTGATGTCCATAAGAGAATAAGCTTGCATATGATCATGGTTAAGAAGAATTAGAGGGAGAAGATCGACACGAAGTGATTCTAAGCCCAACTGCTCTAATGTTGTTAGAAATTTCTGCCGAACACTGTCACAACAAAATGGCTTGCATTTTACCACAAGACGGGAGTTTGGAACAGCACATAATATCCTCGCCCAAACTTGCAATACCTTGGGTGTTATCTGACAAAAAGTTCAGATAATAATAGGTTAATTATGAATGCTATAACAAATAAAACTAATGAATATTTTTACAGTCATTGAACAGTACCTTTGCCAGATTATTAAAGCTGCCGAATGTAATGAACCCGTTCACAAGAGCAGGAGTTGGTGAAACAGGTCCGGCCTCGAGGGAAGGAGTATAACAAAGGAAGCATTCTGGCAGTCGAACCAACTCTTCAACATGCCTGCAATTAGGTGTGATTATTGTCCGAGAAGAATCATTCTCATATCTCATTGAACACAATATTCTAATTTAAAAGGTGGACAGCTAAAGTGAAAACAGGACCTACTTCTGCTTTGTATCAGGAGGATCTGCAAATGAATCGGTGATTCGATAATCAATAGTAGGCAAACCAGTAGTATTGGGATAGCCAATCCAAGTTACCTACAGTGAGACATTAAATAAATCAAAGAGAGCTAAGAAATTACTGGTCTACCAAATCGAGATTACTGGAACAGGAAACCGTTAGAAAAACAAAAAAATATTGAACCCCAAGAATACCTGAACAGGTGCGGGCCTACATGCCATTGTTCCCAATTTGTTGTTGGCTGTATGACCAGTAAGCTCTACCAAGATGTCGATTTTATCATCTCTAACCATGCTTGCAACCTTCTTTTCATCAATACCATATATATCTCTCCATATCCCACCCTTTTTCATGACTTTTTCCCTAAATCTAATAGTTTTTGCATCAGCCTGCAAAATCATAAGAATGCGAGTTCAGAATGAAAGACATAATCAAATAAACAAAGAAGATACTACCTTAACAAAGTTGTTTCGTGATAGTAATGGAACATTATGACAGATATTTCGGCACGATAATTATTGATGAGACAACACAGTAATAAGAAAAGATCAGATTAAAGGATCACAATTTCTGAAGATAATCACAAAGTCAGTTGAGAAAATAATTCTAATGAAGGGTTTTTGTACAGCTGAATCGGCATTGATGTAATCGTGAAGATTACTTCAAATGGATGTTGAGGATCGGGGTAAATTGAGAGTTAAGGGAGTGGTGACAATCTTAATAAATCCTCAATGCCACAAAGGTGGAGTTACTCGACTAAACATGCAAACAAATATGCTGATCTCTGTAAGATTGCAGATGATGGAAGCTATGGAAAGTCACTATGCAACTGACATAAATATATCCAACGATTTAGTACCTTCACTACAGCAGAATAAACAACCACCTGGTAGTTCCCATAGTCGTGATAAATAAGAGGGGCTTCAATGAAATACGACACGGAATGAGTGAAATAATCTGGAGAAATATATCCAATCACAAGAGGTCGTTCCGGATCTTTCGGGTTGTCCCATGAACTGTATTGTGGATATAACCTCATAAATCGCCTTCCCCAGTCCCTGTTTTCAAAATCCAAATTAGACAGCCTTTAGAAACTAAGCTTAATGTTAGTCAATGATACTTGAAATTTCACCAAGTATTAAGAAGATGCTATTGTCATACATTCAGTGAAGAAGAGTATAATTGGTCAAACAGGCCAAAGAATCAAAACACAGATTGAAAGAGAGAGTAAAATGCGATTATCAATATATTTTCTTTTGGCATCTGTTAAGAGCGTATGAATCAGGGTATCCGAGATATCATCACTACACTTAAGATCAAATTCTCAATGTAGCTTATTGTTTTCATCATCCATTTCTTTCTAAATTTCTATTTCGGTTTAGGCCTTTGAAGATGGATTTTATTTGTCAGCACAAAAGTAGGAAATTAGAAAGATGTTGGCATTAATACATTATGGCTTAAAGCATGCATTTATGAATTGCATGGAAAAAAGAACCGTGTGAGACAGAAGGCTTCAATATTATAGTATGACATTAAAAGGTTCATATAGTTGTTCTTAGACGCTCCCGCAAAAATAACAAATTGTTTGTAATGACAACCAAATACCAAAATGATACTTATAGAAAATTGACGTTAAAATGCAAGTTAGGGTGATACGGATTCGATTAAACCTGTGAGTCTCAAAAAGTTTATCATCTCCTTCATTTATGTAGTTCATTGCCAACAGCCGATTCTGCAAAAAGATTGAAATATAATACAAACAAATGGAATCAGTCAAAAAACGAGAGCTGAAACATCACTATCAAACTTTCAAGGTGAATAGACGTCTGAAGTGAAAACTTATCATATCCGTTCCTTTCTCTAGTTCATTTTATTTTTAATTAATACTTACTTTTTTTCCCAACCAGTACTTACTTTTTTTCCCAACCAGCAATTATCATTCAATCTAATACAAGATTCATGTAATGGTACCTGTCCAGCGTTACGAGAATCAGGATCTATCTTAAGGCACTGTTCATAAGCTGTAATAGCCATGGATATATTGCCAGCATCTCTGTATAGAACCCCTGAACAGAAAAGATATAAGGAATAAATTAAATACATAAAAACAAAGAAATTACTTCCCAACAATATCGATCTGGAAACAAAATAAGCTGAAAGGGAAAAACCTAAGTTATTATATGCTTCGGCATATGTGGGACAGGCAATTATAGCTTTCTCGATCATGCTAGCAGCAGCATCCATTTTACCCTGCCAATTGCGAACACATAGTCAATCATTGTTTTAGACATGGTCAAGCCTAAAAGTTAGATCTGTTATCCACTTCAAACCTGAACTGTGTAGACGACACCAAGGTTGTTCAACGACTGAGAGAAGTTCGGTTTGATTGACAAGGCCAACTGCAAGAAGATATTATAACAAAAAATGAAGATCATGGAAAGTAGTAGAAAAAGAAACCTTAAAATGTTATATGACCAACAAATAATTACCTGATAACACTCTACGGCTTTGTCAAGGTTGTCTCTATCTTTGTATATTACTCCTAAATTGTTGCATGCCTCGGCACAATGGGGGTTGAAGTGGAAAGCAAGTTCATAGTAAACAATCGCCTACACAAACAGAAATTGATAGTTAAATTACTATATGATGGAATAATGGAAAAACCTACCAATAAAGTATGTATACAACATACTTTTACCATCAATTACAATCAGAATTCCAGTTCCTCGAAGAAAATTACGAACTTCAAAGCAAATACATCTTAAATAATTACTTACCATATCGAACTTCAGCATTTCACCATAAGCAACCCCGAGATTATACATGGCATCTGCATAGTGCCAATTATAAGATAAAGCCTTCTTGTAATATGCCACGCCTTGGTTAATGTCTCCCTCCAACTTAACCTGATGAGACATATCACTGAATGCAAAATCAGGGACAGAAAAACTGAGTGGTTACTTATTACAAAGAAAACACACAGTGACTTCCATGAACAAGTTGATGAGAAATGCTCATGATGCAAAATAAAAAGTACATTGATCTAATGAAAGCATTGTGTTGGCTAAAAAATGAATGGAGAAACCAATGTGATTGTTGATTGTAGGTGCAGATACCAATTATTAAAAGGGCTCGATTGAAATCTGTTGATGTACAGTCCATCTTTTATTCCATTACAAGTTGTCTCTGTGTATAGGATCATTGTTTTAAATGCTTCTGATACTTAAATTATCATATAAGAAAGAAATGAGTCGTGTTTAAATGCGCAGCTGAGGCGTGCCTAGGCGCTAAGGCGAGGTGAGGGTGAAGTGCCTAATTGAGTCTAGGCGAGGCAATTTCAATGAAGCGCAACAAGGCACACCAGGTGCGGAGGCGCATAAAGGCGCGCCTGTTCAATTTTTTTTCTTTTCTTTTTTTATTATGTTTTACATACTAACTTGGGCCAAAAGTGGGTGCCACACAAAAATAACATTAATAAAATGAAATTTAAACCCTAATACATAAAATGCTGATGATGAATACTCTTTGGTGTTTACATTGCATGAACTGGTAGCTTTATTGTAGATTGGTTACCTATGTTATGCAGGTGTTGAGAAGAGTTGCAATTGTCTTTAGGTGGGGTTGTTTGGGTGTTAGCTGTGCTGATGTTGTAATAGTGTGGGTAGTGATTTTAAGATTTGGGTGTTGTTAGAGGATGATCTCGATGTCTGCATTTGCTGTACTAGCAAGGTTCATTGTTACCTTGCAGGGGGAATGTTTCGTTATGATAATGGATAAACTACTGGGTACTCTTTCCCTTCATCCACAACCCGAAACCGATCTTTGGTATGGGTTGGTAAAAAATCGACGAAGGTTTTTAATGAGACCCTTATTTCTTCCAAAAAAATATTGCATGAACTGTTCTTTTTGCTTGACTATACAACTGGGAAAAACATGTACATCTTTTATTTTCAAAAAGTGCGCCTTGGCTATAAAACCCCTATCGCCTTAGTGTAGCTTGCGCCCCTTAGGGAATGGAGCATCCCTATTCCAACCTCTAAGATGTTTTATGAACATATACCACCCTACTCTGTCCAAACCATAGATGATAAATCAACAGTATCATATAACTTTCATCGAGAAAATGCAATGGCCGCCTCCTTTCTAGAGCAAAGAGCTAAATTATTTCTATAAAGATCCATGCAAGGATTGGACACACGTGGATACAACCACAGCTCAATTTTCAACAAGATAAAGCATCCTGTAAACTATAGGCTAAAGGTCATCAAATACCGTCCAAAGCAAAACTAGTAAAGGAAATGAAAAAAAAAATAGATGTGGCTTCTTAAAACAAAGAGGGATAGGAAGCACCTTTGTTCCCAAATCTGTCAAGGCAATTGCCATATTATTTTTTGCAATCTCAAAGTTCGGGGATACCGCTAGACACCTGATGATACAATAATCAAGCAAATAGCGTATCAGTAGAGATGAGGGCACCAGTAAAATACATAAAATACAGTTGAGGCCCAACAGGCAACAGTGTTAAACAAACATCAGCATACAACCTCTCATAACAGGCAATGGCAGATTCCAAGTCACCACGGTTTTTATATATGACACCCATGTTGCAATATGCTTCAGCATACATTGGTCTCTCTAGTGCAGCCTTCTCATAGCAACTAAGGGCCGTGTCATATTGCATCATCTCAGAATAGACAACACCAAGGTTATAGTATGCAGGCTGTATAAATGAGGTATAAGGATATAAACATAAATTCAACGTAAAAAAGGAGGACAAATAATGAGAAAATGGGAATTAGAATGACAAAACTGCATGTATAAATTTTAATTACAACAAAGTTTAACATTGAGGATGAGAGAGTATAGATTACAGCATAGTGCGGATCTATTCTAAGAGCTTCGTAATACTTCTGAATTCCCTCCTGTGTATTGCCAGCAAGCTTTAAGCTGGTTCCAAGATCAGCTAAAACAATGGCTAGGCATTCTGCAGCTAGTTTGTATGAAGGGTCTGCACTCAAAGCTTTTTGATAAGACTGCAAAGGTAAACAAGTGAAGAACGAAGACTCAAAATTTAAGTACCCACAAATGAGCTAAACAAAAATTAATGGTTAGAAACCCAATGAGAATACCTCAGCTGCTTCTACCAAATGACCTTCGTCCTTGTACAGCATACCACAGTGAGTGAGAGCACAAGCATTCTGAGGGTCCAACTTAATGGCTTCTTTAAAGCTCTCCAAAGCATCCCTTCCCATGTTCTGCATCTGCTGGCATATCCCTTTTCCAATGTGAGCTTCAAAGCACCCGCTATCCTTCTCTAAGACACTGTTATATAGGGAAAGAGCATCTGCAAATTTGTTCCTTGATCGAAGAATGTTAGCATAAGAAAGAGAACCTTTCCCTTCAGATGCCTTTTGTGTTGGAGTCACATCAACTGTTGAAATGCTTGGACCCGGAGCCGACTGTGATTCCTTTACGACACCATCTTCTACGACCAGGTCCCCCCCTCTCTCATTTACATCATTCTCCGTCCAGGCCATCTAGGAAGAGCTATATCCTCACGTTTCTGAACAGATATAAAAAAAAACCAACAAAAAATTAATCTTCAAAAAGTGATATCTTTTAGTGTTGAACTTCAAACAAAAAATTAGAGAGACTTCAAGTCTTCAACGGGCATTGTATATAACTTTATAATGCTTAAGCTGGTCATTTCAAACAAATATAACAAGAACAAGTCACTTTTAAATCAAGATTTATAACAATTTAAAGGGGAAAAAAGACTCTGAATCTTTTTAATCACTTCAAGAACACAGATTGAAACCCTAGGTAAAACAAGATGATCCAAGATCAAATACCATAAACCTTAAAACCCCAACAAATAAACTAAAAAACTACACTGAAAACCCCTAAAATATTGAGCATTTAATCAAACAAAAAAAAGACTATTTTCTGATTTAAAGAAAAGGAACTTTATAAACCCAACAACCAAAAAAACAGAACAAAACAAAAATATTAGGGATTTAACACTTACTTTGAAGCAAACCAAGCTTTTACCCACGAACTAAAACTGCATATCTGATGTCAAAAACTGCTCAAAAAGGTAAGGGTGGGTGTAGGAATGGGAAAAAAAGTGGTGCGGCTTAAGAATAAGACTGGCTTAGCCGAGTTTCAGGAGAAAAGGGGGGAAATGGTGTTGGCGCTGAAGGGTGCTTTCGATTCTCCCAAACACGCAGGGGGTGGGGGGAGCCCATGCTGATGGGTGTAATGGGTTAAGTTGGACCGGGTCGGATCACGGTCTGGTATTCTGATATGGAGATTTGAGATGAGTGTATTTTTTTAAGAATATATTATATTTTTTTAAATAAGGTAAATTACATGGATAGTCACCTAATTTTAATAAATTTTTATTTTACTTACTAAGAAAAAGTTTGCAAGTTATCAATTAGGGTTGGGCACAGCGGAGATTTTGAAATTTTTCGATCATTCTGACTCAAAAATTTGAAGGTTTTTATTTGATTTTAATCCACTATGATGTTTGACGATGTTCTATCTATATTAAATACGTTATGAACTTTTAAGGAAAAAAATATTTTGATCCAATCAAATCCAACACAAATATTTTTTTATTTTTATTCGACAAGCCAAAGAGATAACTAAAAAAACATATATCAACATCTGCAATTGTTACGCCCATGTAGTGGATTTTGGTTTGTAAAAGAATTTTATCAAGTAAATATTTCGTGAAATCATTATCCCTTAACTTCTTTATAAAGTGTGAAGATATCTCTCACAGATTGCTTGCGAAGCACCTTCACCACCATTGTCGTTATTTTGATATTTTTTTTTTGTTTTTTCAACAATAACTTCATTTATATACCTTTAAACGACAAATGTTAGTGACTGTTTCTTTAGTTTTAAAACTTTGATGCTAGAAAAAGAAATTTACTCATACTTTAGTAACTATTTATGTAGTTTACCCATTTTTTATAATTAATTTTAAGTAGGAAATTATTATTTTTATTAATAAAAGTAATCTATATTGGCAAAGTTTGCCCGGACTTGAAAAATGCTCGAAAACCCTAGAAGACGAGTATAAAAGCCTAACAATCAAAACATGCAGATATTCGTGAAAACCCTAACCGGCAAAACCATTACTCTCGAGATCGAGAGCAGCGACACCATTGATAATGCCAAAACCAAGATTCAAGACAAAGAAGGTAACCTCCTCCCGTTGCTTTTATTTTTTTCCAAATGTTTGATTTCTCTTTTTAAACTCCACAAATTGATCATTTTACAAAAGTTTAAACTTTGATGAACTGACAGGAATTCCGCCAGACCAACAACGTCTGATTTATGCTGGGAAACAGTTTGAAGATGGCCGTACTTTGGCTGATTACAACATTCAGAAAGGTTTCTACTTATTTATTTTCAGTAATGATTTTGTTCTTTTTTGTTTTGATTGTGCTACTTAAAGTGGGTTTTTGTTCTTTTTGGTGTAGAATCAACTCTTCATATTGTTTTGAGGTTGAGAGGTGGAATTATTGAGCCTTCTTTACTGGCTTTGGCACGGAAATACAATCAAGATAAAATGATTTGCCACAAGTAAGCTCCTTTTTTTCATTACTTTGTTTTAATCAATGGTCATTATCTAGTTTTTTTTTAAGACTAGATCTGGAAACATCGAGCTCAGCACGGTTACACGCTAGCACATACTCCAAACATGAAAATTTAAACATGAACATGACATGAATACATAGCAATATTGAACACATGCAAAAGAATAATTAAAATACAAACATTATATGAACTAATTGTTATTGAGCCTGGCAATATAGAGCATGCTGTGGTTATGAATTCCGCACTTGAAAGAATAACTAAAACATGAATGTGATCTTAGTTTAAAAAAGCGCCGCTTAAGCGCGATTAAAGCGCTAAGCGCCTCGAGCGAGGCCCCTGGCGCTTCAGCATAGCAAAAGCACTATAAATTCATTAAGCGGTAGTAATCAGCGCTTTTAGCAAAGCGCTAATCGGCGCTTAATCGCGAGTTTAGAAGATACGATTCTGGGCTGTTATATTTGGCATCTTTACAGTTGTATTGTGTTGTATTTCGGGCCAATTTTGGTTTTTTGTCTGGTTAGTCATTTAGAGCTGTTGGTAGATGTGTAATTGGTAGCAAGGTATGGGCAGGGGTTGGGTTTGCTCGGCTGTTGTTTTGTGTGCTCATGGAGCAGCAGGGCATGGGTGATGGGGAATCGAGCTGCAAGTGGGATGCAGGGCTGCTGGGCGTTGTGTGTTGGGACGCAGCAAAATGGTATGGGCATCAGCCACCTTCACGTGAGTGGCATGAGCACTAGCATGGGCAAGATTAAAAAATGTTTATTGGGTGCTATTTACTGGGCACGTGGTGTGTTCGGGTTGTTATTGTAAGGGGTTTGTTTGTCTTAACTTTATGTAATCTTTTATTATTAATGAATTTTGAGACACACTTTTCCTCCTTCCGTTGATTAAGAAACACCATTTGATGTTCCATTAATCATGAGGGGGGGTTTAATGAGACCTCCACTTCCTATAAAAAAAACCTATAAGTAAATTGAGAAATATATTTTGGTGTTTAAGTACTTATAAGTTTTGAATATATTCATTAACACTTTGATAATTAAGTATTTATAAGATAATTTATAAATATTCTGTATTTTTTTGAGACACACTTTTCCTCCTTACGTTGATTAAGGAACACCATTTGATGTTCCATTAATCATGAGGGGGGGTTTAATGAGACCTCCACTTCCTATAAAAAAAACCTATAAGTAAATTGAGAATTATATTTTGGTGTTTAAGTACTTATAAGTTTTGAATATATTCATTAACACTTTGATATTTAAGTATTTATAAGATAATTTATAAATATTCTGTATTTTTTTTGTGAATTTCGGCCTCTCTGGCGCTTCGTGTGCATAGAGCGAGTGCTTTCGCTTAGCGCTTAGCTCTTCGGCGTCTAGGACCCTAGACGCTTTAGGGCGCTTTACGCTTTTTAAAACCAAGAATGTGATATGTATACACCAATGGAATCAAATTTGATTATCTTGTTTTGACATCTTTTGTTGTTGCTCTAAATTTCCCTTGATCACTTCTAGCTCAATGATTCCAACTTGTTTTTTGCTTGAATTTGATTTGAGTTTAGCTTATTCATAGTTGTATTAGCTTTAATTTGTAACTAGAGTTTGAAAATTTCCCCAAATGGGTTGCAGGCTCTTCTTCCCTGCAAAACCCTTCTTAAACCCTAACCCTAAATTCCCAAATCCACATTCCTTCTCCACCTCTTTCCTCATAACCAAAGCCCCAAAGAAACACAAACCCAAACACCCCAAACCCGACTCTCCCCGTACCCAATCTGTAACGCCCGAATCCAATAAAATCCCCCACTTCGAATCACTCCTCACCCGCGATGCTAACTTCTGGTTCCTCACCAAAACCAAAGAATTCCTATCGAAACAACCCGGGCAGGTCCTCCGTCCCGATGACGCCGGAAAACTCTATCGGGAACTCGGTTTCCCTTACGGCCGCAAAGTCACTAGATCCATTTTCCGCCACTCGCTTCCCTTCAACACATACGATTACTCCGACAACAAAATCTGGCTTGGGTTTACCGATTTTATGGACCAATTACTCCTTGAAGAGAGATCAATCATTGAAACAATGGAAAAAGATCGAGTCACGAGAGTCCATAAATTGTTAATGATGTCAAAGAATAAATGAATTCCACTCAGCAAGATTTATCATAAACGGCTTATATTTGGAATTCCTGAGGATTTTAGGGACAAAATTGTGAAATATTCGGATTATTTTCATCTTGTGAATGAAAATGGAAACAAGTACTTGAGTTAGTAAACTGGGATCCGAGTTTAGTTGTTAGTGCATTGGAGAGGGTGCTTTTAGTGAATGAAGATAAGTCTAAGAAAGCTTTTAAGTTCCCGGTTAAGTATGGGAAAGATTTAGGGTTGGAGGAAAATGATGTGAAGAAGCTTAACTTGCTAAACACGTTACCGTTGGTTTCGCCTTATTTCGATGGGTGGAAGTTGGACCTGTGGAGTTTGGAAGTTGAAAAATATAGGGTTGGATATATACATGAGTTTTTGAGCTTGACTTTGGAGAAGAGGGCTTTGATACATCATATTGTAGAGTTCAAGGAAGAGTTTAGTTTGACTAGACAAACTTACAAGATGCTCAAGAGACAGCCTTGGAGGTTTTATTTGGCGGGGACGGAGATGAATTGGGCGGTGGTTTTGAAGGATGGTTACGATGACAATGGTAATTTAATCAATAAGGATCCACTGGTGTTTTTCAATGAAAAGCTTTATAAGTTTGCTCAAATGCACAAAGAAGAAGAGATTTCTAGATTTAGGGAGAAATTATGAGGGGATGAACATTTTCTAGTGGTTAAACTTGTGTATGGTAATTCTAATCTTAAATCGTGTCTCATCAATAAAACCTTTGAATGAATTACATTACCCTGTTTTGTTAAATGTGTATTTTTACAGGTATTGTCTATCAGCAGATGTGATTGGATTTGTGTATGTGGGGTTTCAAGCTTATGCTCTAGCTTACCATCTCATCATACAAAACCATGTCATCAGCCATTACTTTGGTCAACATTTTGATTTCTCCATGAATCAGGCAAGTTTTTGGTATATATAAAATACTCATTGTAATTTAGTCACTTTAGCTTCAGTCTTACTTCTTAGTTGTTATTCACCCCAACATTTTGGTTTTCGGAGACATTTGTTGTCTTAATTAGCTTTATTCTTACTATTTTAGTTATAACTTGTTGTCCCTTGCATGCTCTCCTCTCCCTATTTTTGCCTCTTGCTATGTTGTCAAGTATCAGTCTATCATCATAAGCAACTAAGTTAATTAGATTTCCCATTTTTTGTGATAGTTCGTATTCATTTCACACGTCTCTGCATCCAATTTGCTAGCAAAATTGTGCAATATGCATGGATTCGAGTATTTACAAAAGATATATATGGGTGTTTGAATCACAAAATGTCCTAGTGAAACAAATGCATTTATGTGTATTCACATAGAATTGTTTGCCTTTTTGGTTCATCCTGCTGATACTAGCTTATCTCTATGCGTTTAGCATTGTCTGCATTGGCCAACCGAGTTGATAAGTGGGCAATCTAATTGAGGCAAAGTTGAATTCACTGAGATGGTTAGTGCCTCAGTTGGAAATGGCCTTTATGGCTTTAACATTTACATGTATTCTGTAAGGTCTTATGAAAGCCGGGTCTAACGGCTTTTCTTCATACAATATCTAACTTGGTTAGATCCCTTTGTCTATAAAATTGAAAGATATTGCATGTTTAAACATGTTTGAACCTTCATTCTCTAATATGTTGTAGAAGTAATTGGTAAGATCTTTTTCTATCTATAAATTGAAAGATATTATGTGATTAAGCATGTTTAAACTTTCGTTCTCTTCTATGTTGTAGAAGTAATTGGTAAGATCTTTTTCTATCTATAAATCAAAAGATATTGTGTGATTAAGCATGTTTAAACTTTCGTTCTCTTCTATGTAGAAGTAATTGGTAAGATCTTTTTCTATCTTTAAATCGAAAGATATTGCGTGTTTAAGCATGTTTGAAACTTCAATCTCTTCTATGTTGTAGAAGTATGTGAACGATGGGACTATAAGTTGAACCCTCTTTTGAAGTAAAAGAATGACAAAGAGGGCATCCTAGTTCCCAAAATTGAATTATCCATTCGTATTTTGTCAACTGATCCAAACTTTACATGCAGTTGATTTTCGAGGATGGAACATGATAATGGTTTGCCTGTTCTTAAGATTAGTACATTCTCTTATTTTTTGGGGGACTTGTTTAAGAACTCTTTGTGCTTCGTAAGGTGTTTTTATGTTGATTGATGTTTGTATAATCAAATGATTTGAGTGAATAATATAACTTGATGCAGTGATTGATGCTTTTCTCTATTTCCTCGGGATATGGCAAAATGAACCCAAACTGAAACCTTCAAGGAATCCCAAACCCCTAAACTCGATTTGGACCAAAATGCAACATGCTTTGTGAATCATTGAAATTGATACATCTTTCTTTGCTTGTTAGGTGTTATACTTGGCTGCATCCTAGAGCCGTTGAACTGTCGCAAGAAGAAATGTGGTCATAGCAATCAAGTTTGTGTGTGTTCATATATATCCTGTATTTAATGGTGCAGTTGAGTGCTTGCAGTGGACTAAATATCCTTCTTCACTTGCTGCAAGCTGAGGCCAAAGAAGAAGATCAAGTAAATTGCGACTCTGGTGGTTATTTCATCTGCTTCAAAAGAACTTGCAATACAAGACCTGTTCATATTTTTTCCATTTGGTTCTTTGTTTTTCTTTTTTCCATTGAAATTTTAATGTATGGGTATTGCAGTTGTTGAGAGTTTGGAGTTATTAATGAGGACCAAATTTAGACTTTGACCATGTTGGCCATTTTTCCATGTACGAGTTGCAGTGATCTCCACAATTATAGAAGCATTTGCTCGATCTGAGTATTTCAAGCAATAAAATAAAATAATACACCTTTTAATCACTGAAGTCACTTAATAGGTTTACTCATACATATATTTATAAAACGTGTTTGAATATCGAACGAGAGACCGTGTTCAGTGTTCAGTTGTAACGTAGTACAGTAGGTTGAGGATAATTTAAGTTTAGATTTGTAGCTTAGTACGGTAGAGGTTAATTTAAGTTTAGGTTCAGATTACATTTAGATTTAAGGCGAATTTTCCCCCTCATAAGAGAGATGATTGATGAAACCCTACTTTCAATAGAAATATTTAGTTTAATCTCCATTATAAGAATGGGGAATCACCAGGGTGCTTGGTCTAGTGGTATGATTCTCGCTTCGGGTGCGAGAGGTCCCGAGTTCGATTCTCGGAGCACCCCTTTTTTTGGCTATATCCTCGAAGGCCTAATTATTTCCTTAGTCCTTGTATTTTTTGGTTATGTGCAATCTAATCCCTTCAATTGGACTTAATTTTGAATTTAAACTGTGCGCACCAATGCTCTCAGACTGCCTTTCCCTCCATAATTTCATTTTCCCGCCATCAAGACCTCGCGCTTGCTTTTCACATCCTTATTCTACTTTATATATAAACCCTAAATCCTATGAATTAAAACAAAAGGAAGAAGAGTCCTCTTGACGCTCAATCAGGTAATTTTTCTAGACTATATACTCTGTTTGTTTCCTGATAAAAATCAATTGAATCTCTTCTGAAATTTCCTTTTTCTTTCAGATTTTCCAGCAATTAACTGTTCACCGTCATCAATTCTCACTAAACCTCACTTCTAGTTTGATTCGGTACGTTCTATATCACAAACTTTTTTCTTAATGATTTTCATGATCAAGAACAATAATAGTAATCGTATTCGGTTGATTATGTGAAATGAGTAGATCCGACTGAATTAACACACTTTTGATTAGTATTTATTTAAGTTTCATTTACTGTAAATAAATTTGTGAACAAAAAGAGTTCTCATATTATGTTGATTCTGTGAGATGAGTAAATTCAACAGAATTAAATCGCTGTTGATAAGTAATTATTTAATTTTCATTTCCTGGAAACAACTTTGTGAAATGAGTAGATCCGACTTAATTAACGCCCTGTTAATTCATTTGACCTTCAATAAACTTAATGGCTATTTCTGTATGTCGCTCGTCTTAGATTTAATCATGATTGTAATGTGACATGGGGGTAGAATGCCGATTATGCTTGGATTTTCCCTGTTAGTTTTGAATTTTGAAGTAATTAGTGATAACGATTTGGTCAAACTCCATTGAAAATCTGTGTTTAGCTTCTGGTTTGGGTAAAAACTGTTGTTGTTTTTCTAATTCAGTGGTACCATTGTAGTTGGCAATTGCTTTTGGTATTGGTAAAATGAATTTGTTTTTTGATGTTTTCCTATTTGTTATGCAAGATATGGATGTTTCGAGCCCTGCGGCTTTTGTTAATGGAGGATTGATACGCATGCACGTGGGACGCAAGGTGCGAACAGTGCTTCAGGCTACCCGGTCTGATATCGCATCTGTGATCGGAAAGTCTACTGATGGTTACCAACTTGTTGCAAAAGGCTCTCCACCTGTTCCTCTTACAAGTTATGTTGAGGTTATTGGTGTTGCCGAGAATGAAAATACCATCCGAGCTGAATTATGGACCAACTTTGGTGACACATTTGGTATGCTTTTCTACTCCATATGAAAATCATGATCCTTTTCAGCCAATGCAAATATGATTGCTTTTACATAGATACCGCATTCCGAGGTTTTCAACTTACCGGTTTGGGTATTACATATACATGGAATTTCAGTTTGGGTTTAGGACAAACACTTCTACATGTTTTAATAGATAGTTTATTGGGGTTGCTGAATCAAAACAGTAATCGGTAATGGTCTCTGGTTTGCTTTTTGAAAATTTTTTGCCTGTTTCCCAAAGTTGATGGGTTTATTCAGCTATTTAAGCAATAAGAAGAATGAAGTGGTAAAATAATTGATTAACATAAAATTTATACGCTCCCTTGGGTCCATGGATGGACTGAAGGGGGCTCGCGATGGTGGTCTCTCTTGAAAATTTCAAATTTTCATAAATTTTAAATATTTTCTTTATATAATTTATTGATAATCTGTTATCGCCCTTCTAAAATTATATAACTGTGATCTTTCTAAAATTTTATAAGTTAACTTTCTAATATAAAATCTTATGTTTGTCCTTACTTGGGTCTATTTGAAGTTCCTTTGAAGTCCTATTTCTTTAATGTTCACTTGATTTTTGTGTTTTTCTTAATCTCTTGTAATTGTCTCTGAGAAATCTTTCCTTAACATTGTCATTAATGGCAGATGCATCCAGCTATGATCAACTCTGTCAGCTAGCAAATGGAGAGTTCAAACACCTATTCCTCTAGTTGTTTTCAAATTTCTTTACCAAAAGAAGGCTTTGGCTGAACAATGGTACATGGCACTCTATGCCCATATAAATAGGTAGAAACTATATGATGGAACTTATTCTAGTTGTTTTATATTTCATGTAGAAGTCCCCTCATTTTAAGATTTTTTTTAAAATGTCAAGTTACCTGATATTATTTTTTTAAATTCTTTTACTAAAAGATTTTTTTTAAATTTACATAAACATTTTATCAAATTATTTGGTATACTGATTGATTTTTAATTTATTAATTAATTAATCTAGATCAGGTATTGTAGAGTTAAGGGTGATCATCTCAGTCTAGTATGTTTAAAACTATTATTATTTTTCATTATTTTATAATATATAGTAATTATTTTATTATAGTCTGAAAAAGCTTAATGATTATTTTATGATAGTTTGATTTGTTTGAAATATATATATAAGAATCTCACCCATTATTGTTCAGAACTCTAAATGCTTTACCCGTTAAATTAAATTTCCCTTTTCTCTCAATTTATTGTTAAAAATAATTTTAAAGAGTGATTTAAATGATAAAGAGAATATTGTTTTTTTTAAATGATTTATATACGAACAATATTATCTATAGATATATGTAAGTTTATTTATATTTAAAATCGAATATAAATACTATCTTGTAACTATATTAGAATCTTAAAAAATAATCTTTAAAGACGATAGTTAATGGTTAATTTATATTATTATATGGATAATATAAAGGTAGTTAATGGTTAATTTATACTATTATATAGATAATATAAAGGTAGTTAATGGTTAATTTATATTATTATATAGATAATATAGGACAAAGAAAGAAGCTTTAATGGGAAAAGTCTTGTGTGATAGTCTTAATATACGGTTAAGAAAATGTATTATCTGTTTTGTTAACATATTCAGTAAAGCGTTACCTAAAATATTATTTTTTTATACCGTTTTTGTTATTATTGGACATTTTACTAGAAATGTTAAAAGACATTAATGTTTTAAGTAGAAATAATATTGTTTTAGATAATTTTTTATCAATTTTTTTAAAAAAATAATAATAAAACCAGTATTACATTTCCTTAACCGTATATTAAAGCTGTCGCACGATATAATTTTCTAAATTAATGGGTTTGTTGGTGTGGTGAGTTCCCTACCATTTGGTCCATTTGCATATTATTGTTTAAACATATATATACAATCTAATCACCATAATCAACTAATATTTAAAAACAAACTCAAAGCCAAATTCTCATCCATCAAAACTAATAATTTTATTAGAAGTTATACTATTTAACGAAAATCAAATAACTAGAGACCGACAAAATATTTCATATTAAAATATAAATTTTTAGTAAGTTTAAATTTAGAAGTATAAAATTATAAATTTCAGTAAATGTATAATTAAATTGTCAATAATTTATTAAAAAATCAAAATAATTATATGAATCTTATTCCCCTCTCTCGATCTATTCATGTTAATAAATATTTAATTAGTTAACAAGTGGGTATAATTTTCATCCTATAAGCCTGATCTCTAGCATATGTCAACGTTAAAGGGCGTTGATTAATTGGACAGTGTTTTGTTAATGGGTCTATCTTTTATTTTATTTTCCTTTTTTTGAATTTTTTTGGATTAATCACTAGTATTTGATCTATTGACCGATTAATCTAGTTCGGGTACTGCAAAGACGAGGGCGATCCTCCCAACCCAATTTATTCCATTCGTAAACTCTAGGATTCGAACCCCTACCTTTGCTTAAGAGACCTAATGTCTCATCCCACTAGACTAACCGATTATTGATTATTTTCTTTTATTTTTTATTTGTTAATCATTATTACCATCCCTAGTTAACAACTAAAGATGAATCCACCAATGAAGTAATGGAATAGTTAGCTGTAATTCATTATATTGAAAGAGGGATGTAGGTTTTGTAATAGCTACCTGTAACTAATAAAAAAAATACACTCCGATCCTTAAACCTAGGCTGTAAATGAGACGAGACAGATCGCGAGTTATTCGAAATTAACTCGGTTACGGTTTGATAAATACTCGGATCGAATGGACTCGACTCGAACTCGAGCTCGACTCGAATTCTTAACGAGCCAAAACGAGCTACTTAATACTCGACTCGAAAAGCTCGTGAGCAACTCGAAAATATAATATATTAAAAATTTATTTTTAAAAAATAAATTATTAATAATATTAATATTTATGTGTTGATTTTTTTAAAAAAATACAATAAAACTTTTATGTATTTAAGATTCAGGTTCGAGTTCGAGTTCGAGTTTGAGGATTCAATCTTGTTAGGTTTAAGAATTTTTTTTCATTTCGAGCCTTTTCGAGCTGCTCACGAGCTTTAGTTCAGGATTTCGAGTTCGAGTCGAGCTTAAAAATTTTAAGCTCGTTAGTTTTCGAGTCGAGTCGAGCTTCATTTCAGAGTTTTCGAGTCGAGTCGAGCTCATCAATACTCGAGCTCGACTCAGCTCGTTTACACCCCTACTTAGACCTTAAAGAAGAGAAAAAGGAACGTGAAAAAAAATATTTCAACATCGACGTTAAATATTTAACAGTTTATAATCAAAATAACATTAATGATAGTTTAACAAAACAAAACTAATTTGATGACTAAAATAAAAGAAACAATAAACTAGTGACTATTGTTGTAGTTTAACCTTTACTGGAATGAATGGGTGCGATCGATGCATTCACACTCCCCAAGGCCAAAACCCAACATATTTTCTCTGTATAAAGCAAGTCAACGCCAGGAACTCTGAATTCTCCCACCGCCGTAAACAAAGAGAAGAAGTGTAATTTCATCAACCCAAATCTATGGCTGAAGCCCTTAACACCTCCAAGCTCCCTGGTTTTTCATCACTTACCTTTCGCAAACAGTCAAAACCACCTTCCACTTCCGTTTCAGCTTCTTTGGAAACCTCAGACTCCCAACCCGATACTGCTTCTATCAGTACCAAGGAAGTTCAGAACTCAAGCTTTGCTTCTTCTTCTTCAACAACTGCTGCATCCTTTGCCCTTCCTCCAAATTTCAAGCCAACGGAGCCAAAGAGGCTTGGCATCAGACCAGATAAGTTTTGGGATATCATTGGAGCTTGCCTTGCCTTGTTCTTCCGGTTGGGAACTGGTATTTTTGTTTCCGGGTATGTAATTTTCCGTTTTCTTCTCTTCTTTTTGTTTATTTTGATTGCTTTTCATGAGGAAATTAAAGGGTTCACATTAAATGTAATGAAATTTTAGTTATGAGGTAACTGGGATAATATTTGATATTTTTGGCTCTGGAATGGATTTGAGTTTGCTATGAAAAATTAAAGCATGAACATAGGAATCAAGTTGGATTGTTTTGCTTGATATTTCTTCCAAAAAGAAGAAACGCGGTACATGTCTAAGATATGTGTTCGCATCCTCGTTCTACATTGGTATACAAACTTTTGGACGTTCCAATCTCATTCTCAAACTATGGATATATGCTAGTCGAGTCCCTTGCTGCCAGGACTTATGTGTATCATGTAATAATATGATGTGACATAAGTGATAATTAACGAGGGTTATAGTTTGAGAATGAATTTATAATGTTCTAAAGTTTGAGGACCAATTTAGAATGAGAGTTATAGTTTAGGATGAAATTAGAATATTCAAAAGTTTGATGACTGATTTTAAATGAGGGTCATAGTTTAGTATGAAATTGGACGGTTCAAAAGCTTGAGGACCAATTTAAAATGAGGGTCATAATTTGGAGACTAATGGTGCAATTAACTATACTTAGTGGGATAAGCTACATTTGTGGCATTCAGTTGATGGTTCCTGGTAATGGCATTGGACTTCTATGTGTCTTCTAATACTAGTTTGTCTTCTTTGTTCCGTGGCAGCTATTCCGGGTCTCTTGTTTCCAAGGATGAGATCCCACCTGACCAATATAGTATAGAAATAGGAGGTATGGGATCAATTGTTGTTTCATTTCCTTATTTTGCCGTGCCATTTTTTCAAAGTCTGGTGCGAGTCTAGCGTCCGGTAAAAGTGTGGAAGCAAAGCATTTACTTTCATGGTTGAGCTTCTCTTTCGTCTAAATAGCATAGTGCTAAATTGCGGTTGCGGATGTTAAATGCTGATTGGATACTATTTTTAACAGGCTATAAGCTGAAAGAGACTTCAAAGATCGGCCCTCGTCCAGAGAAGCTGATTGAGATATATGAGTTTGAAAGGTACCTGAATTTTCTTTTCTTTTTCCCTTGTTTAATGCTTTCTCTAATGGTCGGCTTTCTTTATCCTTCAATCTGTGTGTATGGCCTTTTTAGTCGTATTTCGCCCTCTAGTTTTTCATGTCTCATTTGTGATGAAGAAAAGATTTGACTGTGTGCTTCGTTTTTTCCCTTTAAATCATGGAAAACTCTGGACCTCATGCAACTCCAGTTGTCCGTTCTGTCGAAAGGTATTTGCATCAATATACACTTTTAATCAGGTTTTCTTGCTACTATTATGGAATATCTTACACTAACTTGACATGACGCGATTGATATGCAGGTTAGGGAAATTGTTTCGATTTTGGATCTTGATGTTCTGTTCTATCCGTGCCCCAAAAATGGTCCAACTTTTCGTCCCAAGGTTACCGAAATGGATGGAAAGCAGCAGTTCCCATACATGGTTAGATATTATTTCAATTCACATATATCAACACTTTTGTTTGTTTTAAGAACATTAAAAGAGAATGTTGTCGGGAGTTCGACTTCATGATTTGTTTCGGGTTTCGGGTTTCAGGTGGATCCAAATACGGGAGTCGCTATGTATGAATCGGATAAAATAATAAAGTATCTGGTTCAAAATTATGGTACATGTAGCTGCAACATACTATTGCTTTCTTTCTTTGTATTGGAGTTTAGTTTATTGTGTTTAAGAGCTACCTTTGTAACATGCGTTGCTTTACTAATACTACCTCCTCAAGGATGAATCGTATTTAAGAAATCTCTGCTGTTCTCTCTTGTTTTAGGTGATGGAAGAGTTCCTTTCATGCTATCACTCGGTCCGCTGACGGTTAGCATTTTTTTTCCATGGCTAATTATTTCTCTCGCTTTCATTGAAATGTTCTTAAAATCGTCTTGTATTGAAGACATTGAGTGAAGCGTTTGCCATGATTGCTCGCTTGGGAAAGGTTTCTGTTTAATCTATGCCTTATTAACTTGTTTACGATGTTCCGATACATAGGTATGAATATACGACCTTTCTATTATATGGAAGGAAAACTGAACATTTCCATGTCAGATATATACCCATTACTGACACTCACACCCGTGTTCAATTAATCTCGCTTGTTTATAACCTAAAGCGACTGTGCTGAGTTTTATTCCATGCACTTGCTTTCCAGAAAATGCTACGAGGACGCCCTAACGTAAACCCTGCGATGTTCTATGCAGGGAACTTATTACACTCCATCAAAGTTGCCTCCCAAGCCACTTGAGATATGGGCATTTGAGGTAGTACAATTATTAAATGTCTCAAAATTTTAAGATATTTATGTTCAGAAACTCAGGTTCCTTCCGAAATCCGAGGCAACTATAATTTCCCTATCATTTATGAATACAAGTATTCCTATATACACTCATGCATACAAGGTTTGCTCTAAAATGTTTTGACTTTCCTTTTAGGGCTCCCCATTCTGTAAGATTGCTCGAGAAGTGCTGGTCGAACTCGAGTTACCACACATTCAGCGCAGGTAAAAAGTCTAAATAATCACTCTGCGTGATTAGGTACATTTTGTTCAAGCAGCCTCTTTTCTCGAACATTAATGGTCCATGAACATTCAAATTCTATCTGGCTACATAGACTCTAGTTCATGCCATTTCTTCGAAGCGTGATCATCGTCATACTTATTGTAGACTCTAGTTGCTACTTGCATTTGCATATGCACTAAACCTTGTGAATAAGGTTAATATATATCAGGCCTTGAACCAAGATCATTCACATTCTTATCGTTCATTATCGGTCTTCATTTACTCGTTCAAGTTTCAGGACATGCTACCGAGACAATTTTTATTAACTATAGTTATCCTTTTTCTCTATTAGTTGTCCTCGAGGCAGCCCGAAACGGAATATCCTGTATGAGAAAGCCAGGCATTTTCAGGTATATTAGAACTTCTGTAGACACATTTTCGACTTTCACAAAGTTCATAGACAGTATTTTCTGGAAAATAAAAATGGTTGACAATTACAGGTACCTTATCTAGAAGATCCAAACACTGGGGTTCAAATGTTTGAAAGTGCAGAAATAGCAGAATACTTGAGAGCTACATATGCTCAAAACTAATGGAAACCTCTTCCCATACATGTTATCCATCATGTCTTGTGTTATTATCGGTGCCCGGCATCCATATCCGAAGCATATACAAACATGGGTATTGGTGTCAAAAACTCGTATACGAGACATAGTATTGATGCCTAGAATTTCACCCTTTTTCTCCCCAGTTAATTACTGTGTCTATCTGTTTATTTTCTCTGTTTTCTATAAAAACTCTCATACTTGGGACTTTTTTTACCCTGAATTGCCTATATGGTAAGTTTGAACATGTTATCTGAACTCGAAAATAAACATCGAATATGAACGTGTATATTTGAAGGATCTTATAACTATATTAACGATCAATTCATAAAAAAACATCTCGACTCAAAAATGTCATAGTTCCATCCAGAAATTTGTCACAAGTCAATTGATAGTACAACCTCTAAGAACAGCTTCAATGACTCGTTTTATTCCTATACTCGTAACCCCATACTTCGAGCATAATGAAAAATCACACTAACATATATTTCACTGATTAAATCACACTGAATAATCTCATCTTTGATTTTTTTTCATCAAATTCACTCTATACAAGCTACTTTCGTTTTATTTTAAACATGGTACTTAAAAACATTCACTACCCTAAACTTCAAGAAATTTACTTGAAATTTATTGAAGGGAGCAAAGACAGTTGTTGAAGAACCAAATACTAACATGTAATATTCTCGAGTCGGGTCGTATGGACTAACCAGAAAAGAAGAAATGGAAACTAAGCAGGAATCAAAACACTAAGCAGAGAGCTATTCAAGCTCCAGGATAGCGCGATCGTCCTTTCTTCTTCAGGAACTCCGGGATGTCAAATGAACCGCCTTCATTGAAAGAAGGTCGCCTATTGATTCCAATGCCGGTATCTCCCTGTGCTACCTGACCTGCCTGCATTTTTTAATGGAGTTCAATATAAACAGTGTTATGAAACAGATATGAAGGAAGAGCATTTCCAAGTACCTGAAGGGATCTTCCTTCACTTTCTTCTTGACGTTTAAATCCTGTTGCGATTAGGGTTATACTTACCTAAACAAAGACCCAAAAATGATGTTTGTCATCAAATTAATGATTCATATTGAGGATCATGAAGTTTGCAGTAAAAGTTCTTGCTGGTCTATGAAACATGACCTTGTTTATTTACCTAAATGAAACAAACAAAAGAGAATACCAGAATATACTGCTTTCTAGTATGTTGCTGACTCTTCATTTTCCAAAAAAGTACGTGTTGGACATCAATACCCGATACATAGTCAAAATCGGTTTGGGGAAGTGATCCTTTCAAATATATGGAAAAAAATTGAACATGTTCATGTTGGACATATACTGCATCCAACACTGAGATCTTCCATTCTTCCCTCATCAACTCAACAGTTGTCATTACTGTCGATGTGAACTCGGAATCTAAATTTGGTCTAATTCTACATACCTTTGAATATTTTATCTATTTTGAGAACTCAAGAACAACACAAGTAAGCCTTTAGGGAGAAGAGATGCAATACCATTGTCAATCTCATTGCTAGATAAGGCTAAGATGCTTATCTTGTAAACCAAAATCATATATAGGAGAAATATCTACAGACATAAACACAAAGGCGTCTCTTATCGAACCAACATGTGGCCTAGATAGTAAGTTCATTCAAAAGAGTCCATTCATTGCAGGTTTTAATCCCACATTTCGGAGTGTTTAATTCATAGAGTATGATTTATCAATACTACAGTTGGACAGCAGAGCTACTCAAAGTATTAGTGTACTGATGACTATTGGTGAGTCTAAACTTCAGCACGTGTATGTATGATGTATCAACTAACATTAACTTACTTGGCCACTAAGTGATGGATCAATCACTGCTCCAAATATTAAATTGGCAGTTGGATCTACAAGATCATATATAACCTCAGCTGCAGTATTAACCTACAGAAAGTCATCCAATGTCGAATTATGCATATCAACAGAGAAATAAAACATGGAGGCATATTCTAAAACAAGCGGAAAATTCAAGATAATCAATGTCTCTGGCATATAAGATTCCAATCACTATGTAGTGTTCATTACTATACTAGTATTTCTCATTATTCTCTCGTCCGATTCTCAAGAATGCCCATATCAGATATGATGGGCCAGCTCTGGCTTAAATAAATCTTCTCCTACCATGAAGGGCTCCACTCCAATATGACTAAGAATGTTGTGTCAGGATAGAGAAAGGTGTATATATAGTTCGATGAGATAATACATTAAAGGTAAAATCCTCCTCCCACGGCCCATGAAACACGCACAGAGACAGAGGGTTACCTCAAACAAAGTTAAATCACTTCCACCAGTTATGTTCCAAACAATGCCGGTAGCCCTTTCTATGCCAAGATCTAACAAAGGTGATTGGATAGCATTTAGTGCAGCATCTCTTGCCCGTGTTTTCCCTACAAACCAGAAAGAAACAATTAGAACATAAAGACCTATTCGAACCAAGTGAGATGTCAACTTTCCAATTAGAAAAACTAAATGTGCCATTTCATAAACCAAAACATCATGATGGGAAGGGATCAAAGGCCATATGACATGTAAAAATTTGTTTCTTTCAAGATAAAACATCAAAACGTACTGCCAATAAGAGGAAAGAAAGGAGAGAAACTAGGCAAACTAAAATCACTTCTTGTGTGGGAGGTGTGTGTGTGTGTTTTTTTTGGGGGGGGGGGGGGATGAGGTAGAAACATTATGCATTCGAAGTCAAAGATGCTAAAGATCTTTACCAGTTCCACTTCCGATCCCCATCAGCGAAGAACCTGCATTTGCCATTATAGTTCGCACATCTGCAAAATCCACATTGACTAGCCCTGGAATCTGCAATAAGGAAACACACAACCAATTGGAGAGTGCAAAGTATGGTCCAAACGCTGATATATGCTTCAAGGTTTTTGCTGCCCGAAACATCACACGTATACATGGGAAGTCATGCTGATATACTGATTTTTACAGGCTCCAAGGTTCTATTCCAGAGCGTGGAAAATCAATAGATTTAGCAATATCAATGAGTATGATCAAAGTTATCCAGAATAAAATAACACACAAAGACATTCATTACCACTGCATTCTGATAACATATAGACCCTGGAAAATATATGAGCCTTAGATAAATAGCATGTTTGATAACAAATCACAATTACTATTTACCAGAAAAAAGTGAGATATTTCATCTAAAATGCATTCCACAGATAAGTTTTCACCAATTTTACCACCCAAAGCCTACGACTACAAACTTCATATTGAAAAGGAAAAAGAGAGATGGAAAAAGTGGCACCAAACTAATTAATTCATCCTTGCCATCCAACAAACCCGATAAATACAACATTATTAGCCTAAAATTTAAGGGGCACAAAATTTTCACCAATTGACCATTAATATATCACAAGAATATTCTCATGTGGTCATCAACAAAATTGGAAGGACAGTCAATTTTCAAGGACTATGCGAGGAGAAAGAAAGAAAGAAAATGGCATTACAATTCTGTTTTCTTTATCTAAATATTTGGGTTTCATCTCTATCACAAAACTATACAGATAGATTAGGAGGTTTTCAACAGTTTATGGAAGCATTCCATACCGTAATTATATCAGAGATGCCACGCACACCTTGACGAAGAATATCATCTGCTAGATTAAATGCCTCTGTTACTGGAGTAGATGGTGAAACTGCAGTCAGCAACTTGTCATTAGGGATAACAATTAGTGTGTCAACATTTTCTCTCAGAGCTGCAATTCCTTCCTGTGCTTGAACAGCTCTCCTTCTTCCCTCAAAAGAAAAAGGGGTAGTCACAATACCGATAGTTAAAATACCCATCGACTTTGCAACCCCTGCAATTATGGGAGCTCCACCAGTTCCAGTCCCTCCACCCATTCCGGCCTGCAAATGCAAGCTTGATGTCCTAGGTAAAAATGTTAAAGAAAGATACTAGAAGACAGAAGAAAGGTAAGATCTTATGTGCTCGTACTAATTTTTATCTCGGCCAATATCAATTAATGAAAACACCACAAGCAATAGTACCAGAACAAGAGGTTCCACCAATGGCAATTTAAAGGACAAAAGTAACAGGAGCAAGAATGAATCGTGAACAAAATTAGTTCATGATCCAACAAAATACAAGACAAATTAAACTCTAGGAAAAAAAAGTATGATTGGTTATACAATGTTGAACTTATATGGCTACAAACATCTGATGCTTAGCATGTATAACGACTTTGCAGTTGCAGAAACATGATGTGACTCTTACCAGTTGTCGCTATAGACTTTGCACATTACTCATTGACCATTCAGTTGACAGAATAAGTTTCATAAAACAAAAAATCACCTCAGTAGCAAGATTAGTTGTGTTTATCATATGACTGATGAATATTCGCTCTAAATATGAAGCTTGAAATATTTTTTTGACTAGTCTCCAAGAGGGGTCTAGTCAATAGAAAATTCTAAAAAAGCCTAAAAACAGAGGAAATTCAGATCAAAGCCACTCATGAAATCTGATTAGTAATACTAATAGTACTAGTAATAATCAAAATTCTACCTAAATGATCAAGGATGGAAACTTACAGTAACAAAAACCATATCAGCACCAGAAAGAGCCTCTTCAATTGACTCCTTGCTTTCTTTGGCAGCATTCATGCCAATCTCAGGGTTTCCACCAGCACCAAGACCCCGAGTCAGCTCCTGACCAATTTGCAAACGATTTCCGTGAAAGACGGGTGACAATTTCAGGGCTTGAACATCAGTGTTAACAATCCAGAACTCAACACCCTGCAAAGAGCTCTCTATCATGCGATTAACAGCATTTGACCCACCACCTCCAACACCAATGACTTTGATCTTAGCTTCATTGTAATTATTTGAATCGGACACGTATCCTAAGCTCTCGGGACTAGAGCTATCCTTTCCCGGATTGGTTATTATAGGGTTCCCTTCACCTCTAAGCATTGAAACTTCCGGGTGCATATTCAGAAAAGGGTCCTTATTTTGATATGGACTGACACTTTGAGAGTTGGAAGAACATCTAAAATGAGAAATAGACGGCCTTTGGCTCGAAATTGAGGACCCACTTTTCCCATCACACATTTTAAGGCAGCTAAGTTTCCCTAAAGGATTCTCCTTTAACACCCTCCCTCCAAGAACATTAAGTACCCCCATTGATCTAGTATCTGAAGGCCTAAAATAAGGAGATACTGATAGAGCATTCGCCATTTTACTGCCAGCACTAAGAAATCAGATCTCGCTTCAGCTATGACACAAACCAGAAAACCTAATAGAGTCCCAAATAGCTTAATTTTCAAGTTTCACAATCAAATTTTCTCTCAATACCTGCATAAAACACACACTAAATTTAAAAAATGCATTACAAAAAGATTCAGAAATTAAGCCATTAACTCAAGCACGATCGTTGTTCGCTTAACAGCATCACCTTAAAAATAAAAATAAAAATAAACCTCAAACCCAAAGATAAATGCTAAAAAAGGCTATAATGTTCTAAATTGAAGAGCACAATGAACTTCAAAGCGTAAATTACAACATCAAACAAATTGCAGCTAAAACCCAGAACCATAAATTAAAACAAAAAATAAGTGCATAAATTACAAAAAAAAATGCAAATGGAATTTCAGAAGACAAAAAGGCATCTGGGTTTTGGGAAAAAAAAGAGGAACAGAAGAAGAAAAGAACCTGAAAGAGATGCAGAGCCCAAGATAACAGAAACAACAAAGCCCGAGCTGGAAATCGGAGAAATGGGGAAAGTGCCACTTTTTGGCTTTAGCTATGTGAATTCATTTGTCAGGTTCGATAGGGAAAAATAAAAATCAAATCAAAACAAAAAGAAAGGAAAGTGGTAAAATTCAAGACTTGAATTTATGAATAGTTTCCAGGGTTTTAACTGGGTGTGAATCTATGGCCCGTTCAATTCTTAAACCCCTTGTTTGTTTGTTTCCAGATGTTCATATTCTATTTCCTTTTATGGACCAAAATATATACTTTTTCCCAGTCCAAGAAACGATTCGGGCCGTTCGTTGAAGTGGAAAGAACAGCCCAACTTATCCATTTTCCTATAAAATTTGGTCATTATTGCTAACTAAACACCAAACTTTCATTTTGATTTTTGATTATGCAAAGAGAAAAACGGTTGTAAAAGTTGTTATTTTTCATTACGAATTTTATTGTAAAAAGAGAAAATTTAAAGACAATTTTATTGAGACGAAGAATATCAAATTTGGAACATAAAATGAAAATGAAAAATATTAGAAGAAAAAACTTATGTATGTAGAATTCTTGTACATGCATCTAGGGATGGGCATGGGATCCGAACTCGACGGGTTCCGATTCAACCCGACTCGATCGGGTCATATTTTTAAAAAAAAAATGGGTTCAGGTCGGGTTCGGGTTTAGGGTGAAAAATACTCGACCCGACCAGACCCGAAAAAATATATAATTTTACCTTATATATTTATGAATAATTATAATAATATTCTTCTATATATATTTTTCAATTAACTTATTTTTTTTGTTGAATAAAAATATATTTTTTATTTCAGGTCTAGTCGGGTCGGGTTTCTAAGTTATATTTCAGGTCGGGTCGGGTCTCGAGTGGAGACTCCCTTATTCTCGGGTCGGGTCGGGTGGACCAAAAACTCGACTCATGTCTATCTCTACATACATCCGTTTGATAGAGGACCATTTGTCCCCTTAATCACTGGGCACCCCATGTCAATCAAGTTGAATCACACGAAGATAAGTCAAACGATCTAAGTGAGTAAAGATTATATATTTTTTCTCACCGAGATGTTTTCAGGACCTTCTTAAGGAAGTCCTTAATCATCGTACATATCCCATGTCAATCAAGCAGTCGCCCTTGGAAATTTTAAATTATTACATATTTTTAGATATTTTAATTATATTTTATATTGATAATATATATTTTCTAAAATTTTATAAGTTTATCTTCTCTTAAAAATTTTAAAATTCGCCCAACATAAAATTCTTAGTTGATAGCAACCTCCAAACCTCATAAGTCATAGTCCAATTCCATCTTCGTTTGCATGACTAACATTCAACTACTCAACACCGATTGTTCCTTTGCTTATTTTGTGTTCATGTTCAATGGCTAGATTTGGGTCTTTCTCATTGCCAACATTGCCATAGAGCCTCTATCGGCAGCTTTCGACCAGCTCGCTTCCGTTCATATTCGCCTTGGCAGCAACGATAACGGCTCTCGTGTTCGGTAGCTTTGCTGAAATATTTGGAATGGTGATTTTCATTTATAAATGTAACTGTTCGAATATAATTTTTTTTTAAAATAATATTTCTTTTTATCATTGAATCCACGTAATAAGTTTATTTATTCATACACAATTCCATAGCCAACCAAAATTGAAAAGTTCCCAAAACTTTGGTGATTTTCATTAGCTATGTGACATTAGAAAAATATGGAAATATTGTGTACGTGAAAAAAAATAGAAAATGTAGTTGTTGGATAATTGATTGGCGACGTGATTATAATGTGCTCCGAGTGTGGGATCGAGTAATGTCCCTCGACGGTCTTGCTCTCACCTGTAACATTCAAGACATCCATAAGGCGCACAAAATCTGTTTGATGAAATGCGTAAGTGAACTTTCGAACCCAATAAATAAGGCCCATTGCCGGAACATATTCGGGCAATACGAAGGAAAAACAAGAAATTTGAGAGGGAAAATAATAAGAATTAAATTGATAGAATTTTTAAATATGAAAGATTGTATTTATTGAATTATTCCAATTAAGACTAAATTGATAGAATGTATAAGTTTTGGAGGATTAAAACTATTATTGTATTTCAAATTAAGATTAGATTTCTTAATCAAAGTCAGATATTCAAATCTTGATGTTATGAATGGAGCAAACTTGGTTGGGAGTGTTGCCCTCATAATGGACTTCTACAAAACTTGATCCGGATTAATCGATCAATAGGTCAAATACCAATGGTTATACCAACAAAAGAGTGACTTAAATGTTACAAATTTTTAATTCATGACTTAATTCTAACTACTAATTATGGCCTGAGATGTATTTTACCCATAAATTAATGGTTCCGGGGTTTGGTAGGATGGAAATGGATTTCTTGCCCCGCGCGCTAAATTCTTAAACCCTATATAGGTATAATGTCAAAATTAATCCACTAACGTTTATCGAATGACCATTTTAGCCCATAGTTTTTTTTGAGTATTTTGTCCTCTTAATGTTTTGTTTTAGGGTAAAAATACTCCTAACGTTTGATGAATAATCACTTTGACTTTTTCTTTTCTTTTCTCTAGAGCATTTTGGCCCCTAACATTTTGTTTTAAGGTAAAAAGGATCCTATTTTGAGGCTAAAATATTCCAAAAAAATAATAAAGACTAAAATGACCATTTTAATAAATATTGGGAGCTAATTTTGGCATTATATCCGGTTCATATAGGTATTTTATTTGACGAGGGATAATTTAAAATGGAAAGTTGATACGGTAGATATGTGAACGACTTTTCATTGACATGAAATTCATGTGTCGTTCACATCATTTTTCATTTTTTGTTTTTTTTTTCTTTTTTCTTCTTCTTTCAAAGATAAATTTTAAAATTCATCTTTATGTCACGCCGGCGTTACAATTATCATTCTTTGACGTCTTCTCCGACCATTTTATCAATTTTACTTTTACCTAAATCATTTTAAAACTCAAAACTCACAAAAAAAACCCGAATCACTCTAATCTATAATATGCACCATCCAATCAATGTGGAATCAAGATATACAACTCGCTCCCTCCTTCTCCACCTCCTTGCCATTGAGATTTTGGAAGAATATGCTTCGTTATCGAGAAATCAAAGAGAATTCGAAAACTATAGATTTTTTTAAAAAAATAAGAAAGTTTTGGGGCCATTTCATACTTTTTGAAAGAAAAATATCCAATCATAATGCATCAAGTATTTAACGGAAGAGTGACAAAGATAGGAGAAAATCGAAAGTCCAATGAATAAATTGAAAATTTTAAAAATTTAATGTCCAAATTAAGAGTAAAAAGAAAGTTTTGTAGTGAAATCTACAATTTTTCCATAAAAAACTAAACTCAAATCACAGCCGTATATCATAATGAAGTAAAGAGTCTTCGCGCTTCATATTATCACGGCGAACTCTCAATCTCGCGCATTCTCAAATGGAAATTGGCCTGTAATTAAAAACCCCCACCAATGAATCCCTTCATTTCATTAGCTCTACTCTTCGGCAGCTGGCCATTTTCTTCTCTACTCGTCACTACGTCAAAGCAGTAAATTGCTTCTACTGAATCTACTAATTCATCTATGATCTATCATTATCTTGCTTTGGATTTTGCATAATTTCCTTTATAGGTAGTTTCTTTAATTACTTGAGACATTTCGTATCGTTTTCGTTTTATTTGTTAGTTTATAGTTTTGCATCCTTTGTTTTGAAAGATAATTTCTGTGCCGTTGACTTGATTGTTCCTTTCTACTTTTGATCTGAATAGAGAGAAATTGTTACTAATTTTGATTGTTTCTGTTTAATGATTTAGAACTGATCTGAGTTGAATTTTCAGATCCGTTCAAGATGAGCCACGGTGACGGTTCATTTAAGTACATAAATTTTTCTGATCTCCCCGACGATTTGGATGACGGTTTCTTTAAGGACATAAATTTTTCTGATCTCCTCGGCAATTCGGTTTCTGTCCCTCCCATAGGAGACCAAGTTCAACAGCCTGAGAATGCGCCATTCGAAGTACAATCTGGCGCGAACGAACCACCGATATCGACCGGTGATAATCAGGAGAACTCGTCGAGCAGGAAAAGAGACTGGGATGTAGTTTCTCCTAACTCATCGGATGCCAAAGGAAAACGCCCAAGGAGACAGAGCCGGCGCCGGGGAACTGATTTTACCGGTGAATCTTCAACTCCCGGGGAACCAGAAAAAACGACAGAGGAAGCATCGACTTTTGCAGAGCGCATCAAGCCTTTAACTGTGGGGGAAAGTGCGAAACTTTTGATAAATCGAATCAACCAAAGGATGAAGAGCGTAAGTCTCTTAACTGAACTTAGTACTTCACATTCAATTCGCATATATGACACTGTCTCTATGTTGTAAGGTGAGGGAGATACAACTTAATTTACTCCGCACCCACAGCCATATCAAAACGCAATGGTCAATGGCAGCCCAAGTCCAAGAAATGGTGAAAGATGATGGTGCTATCAAAGCTGAAATCCAAAAATTTATCGAAGATATGGTTGCTACGGAAGGTGAAATCCAGAGATTTATGGAAAATATGTATGCTACGGAATCTAAAATCCAAATAATTAAACAAGATATCACGAAGATACCCAAGAATGGTAAATTAACAGAAGCTGCGGCAAAGCAGAAATTAATCGGAATGGAAAACAAGGAGTTAAATAAATTCCTTCAGGTACGCTACTCTTCACAAATCTTACTGTGAAATTTTGATTTCATGTTCTAAATCTCCAAATTTCAGGATTTGCAAGATGCAAGAAAGATGTATAAACAAATCCTTCAGGTATGCTATTGTTCACAATTCTAATTAGATATAGAATTTTATGAACGAAATTTCGAGTTAACCTTATAACTTTTCTTTTTTCAGGAAAAGGACAAAATAGATGAAAAAATACGCGAACTTCAACCATTCTTCCTTAATAATATGGTATGATTTCTTATCATTTTTATTAGCAACGTAGTATTATTATTTCTTGAATAAGATTAACATCTATAGATCACATTTTAGTTATGTCTTTTCCCATGCACTAGAGTTGTTAAAAAAATCAATTTCAGCTATATATTACTTAAATTGGGTGTAAATATAGATGTATATAAGATTTTATGTTAGAGAGACATACTTTTAAGATTTTAGTAGACAAAAATATATTATCAATATAAAATGTAAAGAAAACATCTAAATTATATTTGGATTTGGTGACTGCCTCTACTGGCCGTCTCGATCCACTCCTAAATGCAAGTGTTGGATACATATGCGGTCCTAATCATATGCAAACTTATATCTAATATATGGATATATTTATGAATATTACTTATTTATAAATCACATAAAAATTATAGTCTTTCTCATGCACTAGATTTATTTTTAGATCTAGGAGAAAGCCATTTTCAACTTTGTTAGTCTGGTTCGAGTGTGAGTGATGGATACAAGTCATCAACTTTATATATTTTCTAATATTTACATTATGATATTTTATATTATTATAAATTTAATTTTTTGTGATTATAAATTATATAATATAAAAGTAAAATCATACAATTTATTATATAAATTTAAAATTAATGTTGGAATTTGAGCTCCACTTGTAATTTCTTTTTGTCAAAATCCATTTTTTAACATAATAATTTTACTTAAGCCCTCCTAACATTCAAATGTATGACTCACGATTCATGTCCTTGAACAAATCTAGTTTCAAGAAACCTTAAAAGATGGCATTTTAAGATTATGTCCGAACATAAATAAACATTTCAAGTAAAATGAAGAGTTCGAACACAAATTTTTAATTTGATCATGAAATTAAACATTAGGATTATCTCCTTGCTGCCCCAGCCTTGCTCTGCCTTTTGCGTTGAAACAGTGTTTTTGAAACTGAAAAAAGAAAAACTGCATATCTTACCTGATTAATTTGTTGGTTGTCCCTGTATTTGCCGTATGTATTCTTTGACTTTCTCTTGTTTACATCTTGAGTTGAGCACAGGCTAACTATTTTGGTACCCGATACTGTACACTCCTAATAGCAATTAATATATCATTTGTTTTGATGACTTGTTTTTCTTCTATGTTTTTGTTTTAGTCGACGTCTGAAATACCATCCGATATCAAAGAAATGGATGATCAAAATCAAGACGAAGGAGGTTTATCAACTTTGGTCGATGATTCACAGACTAAATTTAGTCATTTTAAGAACCAATTTCTTCACAAAGAGAACAACGAAGTGGATTTTCAAGATTTCGAGGGATTGCAAGAGGCATTGAACGGAGCTGGCTGGGGTGTAACCCCTGATTACCTGGAACACATAGCAATGGAAATCGAAACGGCCATCGGTATGCAGATTAACAATCCGCGTATCCGTGTTCTGCTCTCCGCTGCAACCAAAGAGATGAAAGATATGCGAGTCGAGGAAATGGAGCTGGACATGTCTAGCATGTTCAAAAAGTGGGCGGCCACGCTCAATTCCGCCAAGGAAGATGGTTTTCATGCGGAATTTGCTTACCACAAGCTGGAGAAAATTCTGCGTCTCTACTTTTTTTATCATGAGAATTTAGAAGGAAAAAATCTTTGATAATTACAGATGAGCTTCACTTCGGATTTGGTTTCGGTACTGTTCTCTATATGAAGTGTGTGGATTTCCGTATCTTATTCGTGTATTTTATGGATTTTATTGTGTCGTTATCGTATTTGTATTGTGCTTTCAATATCTCAAGCTTTGGATTTGTATCCTGTTCATGTTTTTGTGTGTGTGTTATAATCGTATTTCAAGGATCTTATGTTTGTTGATATTGGTATGTACTTCACCTGGTTATTAGATGGTGAACCATCCTTCCACTGGATCTGAGTTTGATTCTCATTGCCTCCACTGTTTGATAAAGCAGCGTTGCAGCAGGACAAGGACTAGTCCTTGCTGGTTCAGCTCTTGGTGGTGGCGCTTCAAACACGCACCCGCTCGTACCTCCAAATCATGTATTATAGTTTATCTTCACTTCCTTTTTGTAGGATGTCAGTATGTGAAACGATCTTGATATCTACTAGTTTCTAATGCTCCAATATGTGTGCAGCAATCAAGATTTTAGTATGTTAAGCTTTGTGGCCATGCAGCATTAGCATGTTATGGTTGTTTTATCAATAAAACTGCTAGTAAATGGTGCTGGTCCAATTGCATTTTAACCCTTAAAAAATCCCTCCATTGATTGATGAGTCCCAATATTTTTTATAAAATTCGTTTTCTTCTCCTAAACACAAATCTAGTGGCTGTGCAATCGAAAAATACCTAAAATCCATGAATCCAACTTTGAATGTTTCGGTTTCTTACTCTCTAATCTTCGTTTTTTGAAGTTGGATAGAATCCAAATGGAGATATGTTGCTCGTCATCCCAAGAAGGGCTCCTCCATGATTGAAATCTTCAATTGAAGACTCCAATCATCGGAGATTCACCAAAGTTGAAGTTGGGTATTTTCTTTAAGAAAGTGATTTATTGTTTAAGGTGTAATTTGTTTTTTAATAAAAAATACTAATATTAATTGATGTTAATATGACTTAATAGCCCTGTTGCAAATAATAATAAAAGAGCGATAGAAAATTTTAATCTTTGAAGCTGAGTGAACAATTGAAAAATTTTAAAATTTAATGATCAAAATAGAATTGAGGAAAAAGTTGATTGATTAACATGTAGTTTACCCATTTAAAATCGGACACGTGTTTTGGATTTACTTGACTTTTTTTTTTAATGAAAATAACAAAACTTGCCCTAATTAGATCCTCACAAATGAATTTCTTTATTTATTTAGCTTTTGCTTCGACGGCCGCTCTCCTTCATAGCTATTGACGCATCGAACCAGTAAGTATGACTTTACTAGTTTCATTTTCATCGCTTTCTCACGCATCGCTTGCTTTGAATCTACTTTATTACTGAGCTCTTTGATTGCTTATGGGAAATTTCGTTTCGTTTGTTTATAAAATTATGAATCAGTTGTTTGAAAGAACGCTTCGTTAGTGTTGATTTACTTTCTGAATTGGGAAAAATCGTTAGTGTTTTGCTTGTTCAATGGTTTCATCTGATTCGATTTTTATTTCCCAGATCCGTGCAAGACGAACAACTATTGTGATTTTAGCGTGCACCTTCAACAGAAAAGAATCCGGTAATTAGTTTCCTGTAACAAGTTAGAGGCTAAATGAAAAGGCACAAATAAGACAGCAGAGAGAACGTCTTTTTTTGCTGGGAACTTGATTTTCTGGTGCACATGCTGCTTTGTGCCTTTTCTTTTAGCTTCTGATAAGTCATCGGAATCTAATTCGTGGTTTCTTTTCTTGCTACTTGTTTCTGCTTCTTATGTTTCACTCTTAAACCCTTCTCGTCTAATCAATGTTGGCATTTCCAGATACAATGTTGGCATTTCCAGATACTCAGGTTTCCCTTTTGAAATTCTATTCTTGATGACTCCCACATTCATTTCATTGGGTTAACAAATTTGATTTTATTGCCTTTTTTTTGTTGCAGATATTGCATTTTGATCTTTACCATTAAAGGCCAATCTTTAAAGCTTCAAAATGTTCTAGCCTAGGTTTCTAAGCTTATGCTTTTTTGCAGATATTTCATTTGGTTAGCAATATTTCTTTAGTTTTATTGGGTTTTTTTCCTTCTAATTTTTCAACATTGAATTCAATTCTCTAGTTCTTTTGAGAGACTGCAAGGATTGTAACAGGCACTAAAGAACACTGCTCGGGGGAAAACTCCAGACTACCTCGAACCTATTGCAATTCGAATCGAAAATGCTCGAGGAGAAGCTACGGCTGTGTGTCTTATCCCTGATCATGTCCTGCTCTGGCAGTCGAGAATTTGGACAAGTACGTTAAGAAATTTGGCTTTCAAGTGGGATTTGCTGATAATATGTTGAAGAGAAGAATTTTCTTGCCTACTTGGCTTACTCAACAGTGTCATTACACTGAAACAAAATAGCTTGGAAATGGCTGTCGTGGTTGTGAGTCAAAGGGTGTTTTGCTGTAGCAACGTCTTTGCTGTCATGGCTTCAGCCTGGTTTCTACATTTACTTTTCTCTGTTTGAATCATTATGGTTTATGGTTTGCGATTTAAAATCGTCAAAACTTCAACCCTTCATTAGTTTGGTTCGAATTTATATGGTTTGGTCGATTTTTCTTGTTATGGAGTTGGTTTTATGGGTTATTTTTCTTGTTAGGGCAGTCATACCGAAGGCATGAGTATGATGTTGCCTAACTTGGTCTGCTTCAATATCTTGGCCCTCTTCCTCCACGATGACGGCAGCAAAGGCGGTCATACCGGTGGAACGACATGCCTACCTCAGACACATAAATTTGAGTATCAAACTGAATGATTCGGACCAGACATGGTCGAAACTTGAATGACTAGAAATTTTTAAAATTTTCAATTGATTTTATTCAATTTAATCCGACTTAAAATCAACCCGAACCACCAACCTAATTATGGATATTATAAAGCCATGACTGAGTTTGTTGATTCCTTGAAGACATGAATAACTGTGAAAAGCATTAAAGATGTAACTAATGATAATGCTATTACTACTAGCCAAGTAAAACATTAAAGCAGATCAGTTTATCCTGAAACCCTAAAGATTAATCTGATGGTATGTTACAGTTAGATGCCGGAAATCCCATCAGCATTAGCAATATTCGACGCCGGTTGAGATGTAGTTGATGCAAGGCCACCGGGACTCCGGCATGCCGAAGGCGTGGTAGGGGTCCGTGGTGTTCTTGGAGACCAGAGAGGTGAAGGGGTTTGAGTTCTCGGAGATAGGTTGACAAACTCTAGTGCTTGTTGTCTCAGTTCTACGGGGTAATCCGCGATGCACCCAATCCTTGGTCCTGCTCCGGTCGACCATTTGTGGGACAGTTGATGTCCTAATTGATACGAGTTCACTGCCTTCTTGGAGTTGATCCTTTGCAATATGGCTTTTTCGGGCACCTCGGCTCTCGGACTTTGAAGACCACCGGATAAAGACCTTCTGTAAGTATTTGTGGTCTTGGTTTGATTGGTTTCGGATGATTCGGATGACAAGTTGTTCGCTGTATCATCGATTTCAGGTTTAGTTCGCACCGAGCTTACTGAGAATTCAACCGATTTCTCGAAGCTACTGGCTTTTCCATCATCATAGATATCGGAATCATCAGTTGCCTGTGGTATCTGAAAACCCAATAAAATGTCATATGGGACCGAAATCTCATGGATAATAGCCAGAAAGTATAAGAAACGCCAATTTGCCGTTTTCGAGAACATTTGTACAACAATATGATCACTTCCCTAGACCAAACATCGGAACATCAAAATTTCAGTTCGACTATTGCGGAAGAGCAAATAGATAGATCAAAAGGTTACCTCAACTTCGTCGAGGTTCACTCCGTTCTCCTTCAAAATCGATAAGAAACTATCGAGACTATCATTGGTCGGCCGGTAATGTCCACTATATGCAGATATTGACTGAAAAATGAAGGAATGTATCAGAACTTTAACAACATTGCCAATTAACTTCAACGATGAACTGTGGATACAAATTCGAATAACTATCCATCCACTAAAACGAAACCGATACCAAATTATAAATCACAATCACATAATTAACGGATACCTTAAGAACTCCATCCTCCGCCTCCAGCCTACCAGCTGCTAATGTTGCTCCTCCAGCCAAGAAACTCGAATGATGAAACATTCCTTTCTTCTTCTGCGAGGTACATCAAAAAGACGGTTTCTAAGTTTTCCGATGCCTTCCACAAAACATCACAATCGGTTTCGTTCGGATTTAAACCGCTTACCTTGCCGGCATACAATTTCTTTGAGGTGCTCATCACGAATATCCATTTCCCCTCTTTCGATCCTTTGATTGTATCGAGTTCATGTCCAGTTAGTTTATGGATGATCTTTCCTTCAACAACAATGTACTCATAATTTACCCTCTCTTGCTGTTTCTCCCACCAAAACACGAGAAACATATCAGGAATCAGTATATCAGAACAACACAGAATTAACAATTTCATACATCTTATACGATCAAATCGAACAATACGAGGGTACATACAGGTCCGAGATACGTTATGCATTGCTGTCGGAGCTTCGATCTCGGGCACTCGTCGAGATTAATATCTTTGCCATCCCCTACATCCAACCTGTAAAATAACACAAAAATCAGAAACTCCACGAGCAATATAACTGCTTAAGCAAGCAACCCTTTCCTCCATCGAGACATTTCGAGTTCATAGCTAAAATACCCTTATTCGACACCCGAACCCCATAAACTACTAACTGCTTAACCAACCCTTTCTTCCATCGGAAATATTTCAAATCCCTTACTATAATACTCCGACCCTTCATTTCTACTTAACCACCCTTGTCCATCACCTGCATCCTACGCGTATAATACACATAATTGGAAATTAATTTCCTCAAACATACGTGATTCGTATGCGTATGCTTATCCGATAATAACTCGAGTCCGACTAACATAGATATCTAACGTTGAAGTTGGAGTTACCAGTAGAAAAATGGTTGACCAGCATCAGTTTTGCACCACTCTTCGTAGTATATATGCAAATTATGCCCGTATCGATGGCGTGGATCAATCTACAATTTACGAGGGGGAAAATAAAAATAAAATAAATAAACTTTCATTGAAAATAAAAATTTAAAATGAATTTTTTTCTTATGATTTAAGAGAAATTACAGCTTCAATCCAATGCTGAAAAGCCAATTTCTGTGCTTTAGCGTCTTCGGACAATCCCTTCCCGATCTGAAAAATATATATATAGAAATTAAATATAATTATCGATATTCGATTATTTAAAAATTAATATAATACGAATCGAATATATTAAAATTACCTTGGAAGCATTTAAGAGGACGCGATTCCACCTTGAAGCAGCAGTTTCAGGTTTTAAATCATCGAAGAACGAAATCGTGCTGCGCTTAAGCCTTGCATAATCCAATACCTGCCACCTGAAATTTTGTTTTGAAAAATTAATAATTAATAACAATAATGGCTTTCAATAAAAACAAAATGTTTAATTTTTTAAGAATAAAAACAACGTGAAAGACAAAGATTCTCTGTGTTTACCAGAGTTCTTCAGCGACAACAGCGGAATCTGCTAACCTACGCCGTGTCCGGTAACTCCTATACACCTTCTGAACCTTAACCGCCGCGTTCGTCTTCCACGAAAGCCCACTGCCGTGATTCTCAACCGAAGAATCTCCACCGTCGATCGAAAACAACGGCATTTTAAGTCCACCGCCATTGTTGTTCATATTCCCCGACACGGAATCCGATTCGCTCTCTTCTTTCGGACTATCCGTGGAGAAAAAACCGGACCTTTCGGATCCCCGAGGAAATCCGGTGTTAACGTAGTCCGAGGAAGAAGAAGACGTGTGGTAGAACGGAGGCTTGGAGTTGAGATCGAAACTTGAAACAGCTGTTTGAGTTTCACTAACTTCCATTTTTTGATTCGGTCAGAGGGAAAATTTTTAAGCCAAACAAAGACTTTTGGGGGTTTTTTCTCGGAAAATTTTGTGAGAAAGGAAAATGTTTGATCGTTTGGTGATGAAAGAAGTGAGAGCAAAGAGTATAAATAGCAGAGAGAAAAGGTATAGAAAATCTCCCGGGAAACTCACCTGTCAATTTCCTCGTTATCACACTCGGTATTTGTTCAGTTAAGTGCGTGGTTCACGCGCCATGGTTGAAAGTGGAGTTTTTAGGTGTGTACCTCACTCGTAGTGAGAGAAACAACCTCATTTCTACGTTTAATATTTGGGTCAATCATAAATTTTAACACTCATATTTCGTTTCACTCTTATTTTAGTCATCAAAAATTAAAGAATTCTAATTAATTTATTAAAATTTTGATTTACTCTTATTTTAATCACTTAAATGCTAAATCATAAACAAAACGATGACATAAAAGTCACGTAAATGATTCGGACTATTTTTTATTAACATAAAATTTATGTATCGTCCTTATCATTTATATTTAATATTTCTTTATTTCTTATAAATTTTGTGTATTGTTTAATAACTCTCAATCATTTGACTATGAATGCTTATATTCTTGTCGGTGCTCGAACCCGTAACCTTTAGGGTAGGGACGGAGCCAAAACTAAATATTGACAGGTGCCAAAATATTGGACTATTTAAAAAAAATATAAAAACTTATTAGGTATTTAAACTTAAAATTCAGCACGAACTAAGTGGCCTTAGTGATTAAGGGTTTGTTGTTATCCTTGTGGTCTCAAGTCCGAGCACTGCGTATGTAGGGATATAAGCATTCATTGTCAAATAGTTGAGAGTATTTGTATATGTACTACCTTGTATTCACCCTAAATTTATTTTTAAAAAATTCAAAATTCACTAGATAACACATAATTTATCTAATATTTAAACTTACAATGACCTAAATTATTATTAGATCAAAAAAATTGAGAACACGAGATTATCGTAACAATTTATATTAATAATATTTATTTATTTCAAAATTATGATATAATTTTATAACATTGTTTCTTGTTTCGAAGCAGGCGTGAGTTTAATGTTTGTTGTGTGGTAATTGGTAGTAAGTCAAAGAAATTGAATTTGAAGGTATCGAATATTGAATTTGTAAGTCTTTGGATGTATTGTGCTCCGTCTAACTTTAATAAAGCTGAGTTGACCGACTCACATTGTAACTTGAAACTTTTGGACATTCATTTTAAGAGAGGTGTAAACGAGTTGAGTTGAGTTCGAGTATCGTTGAGTTCAATTCGACTTGAAAACTATGAAATGTAGATCTACTCGACTCGAAAAATCGCGAGCTTAAAATTTTTAAACTTGGCTCGAACTCGAAATCCTGAATTGAAGCTCGTGAGTAGCTCGAAAATGCTCAAAATGAAAAAAAAAATTCTTAAACTTAACTAGATTGAACATCAAACTTGAAATTGAGCCTTAAATATATAAAAGTCTTACTGTATTTTAAAAAAACACATATAAATGTTAATATTATTAATAATTTATTTAAAAAAAATCTTAATATATTATATTTTCGAGCTGCTCACGAGCTTTTTGAGTGGAGTATCAAGTAGCTCGTTTCGACTCGTTAAGAATTCGAGTCGAGTCCATTTAATCCGAGTATTTATCGAGCATTGACCGAGTCGATCTCGAGTAGCTCGCGATCTGTCTTGTCTCATTTACAACCCTATAATCATTTACATTTTGTATGGCTTATGCTTTTTTATTTGATGCTTTACAACAAGAATAATATAATCAGACACAAATCAGCCGACTTCAGTGGTTAAAGAATTATTATTATTTATTGAGGTTTCAGATTCGAGCATTACGTGTGTCAAGAGTATGTGTTTTCAATGTCAAATGATTGAAAGTCTGTGAACAGATACTGTCTTCTACTCACATACCTAGATTAATTTAAAAAAACAATGTTACTAGGATAAATTACATTACATGTCACTCAATTGTTAATAAGATCATACATGCATCATTTAATTTCCAAAGGTTGCAAATGAGTCATTTAATTAATCCAGTGCTATAAATGATTATTAGTAAGATTAAAAATGGTCACCCGATTTAAGAAAGTCACAAATGTGTCACTCGATTAATCAAGTATCGAAAATCAAGGGTTTTATTTGATGATCTGAATGGTAAAGAGATTGTCGTTTATAAGATAAAAAACATATCCCGAGACGGAGATCATAAAATAATGGATTGCGTAATTGAGGTTCAAAAAGTCTAGAAGTTATAGGATGATTTCATGAATTTTGAAAGAGATTCTCAAAAATATAATATGATGAACTAAACAGGGAGATGGAGCTGAATATTATGATAAAATTTAGAGTTCATCGACCATTGTAAACAATAGTCAGCAACAATCGCACCTAACATGATTGCTACAATAAATTATTTTAGTGTTATGATTAGGGATGAGCACAGATCAGGTTTCGGTCAACCCAACCTAAAAAATATATACCCTCCATCTGATCCAAACTCGATCTAACTTTTTGAGATAAAATCTGAACCCGACCAGAGCGACTCAAAATAATAAAAATATATTATTTTTATTTAATAAAAGAAATGATTTAATTGAAAATATAATATATATAGGGGTATTATTGTAATTATTTATAAATATATAAGATAAAATTATATTTTTTCGGGTCTAGTATTTTTCATCCTAAACCCAAATCTGACCCGACCTGAACATCACCTTTAAAAACCCGACCTGATTTTTTTTTAAAAAAAATAACTCGATCCAATCAAGTCGGGTTCGAGTCCCATGCTCATCTCTAGTTATGATTGTAACTCTTTGATATAATACTTGCTACGTCACAATAAATTTAACATTTCTGTGTTTTCAAATTGTCACTTTGAAAATTTCAACATCAATAGGGAAGTTCTACAAACCGGTAGCAACGTCCAATAATAACAAAATCTGTAGAAATAATAATGTTTTCGGTAACGTCTTTTTTTAGTCGTATATTAAGGCTGCCGCACGTGATCATTTCCCACATCAATAGTCATATTTTCTTTTCTACTTTCTTTAATTTCCCAACAAAAACAAAATTTAATTTTTAAATGACAAAATCTTTAATTGAGTTATTTTACATCACATATCCTATAAAAACTGTTTTTTTCTTAAGATTACGTTAAAAGTTAGCATGTGACAACACAATGTGACAAATCAAATGTTTTTTAATGAATAAAATATTCCACATCAAAAAATTGCTTATTATTTAATGATCATATGATTTGTTTGTAATAAACGATAATTGGATGATTTATTTATATTTTTTAAAATTTGGATTACTCATTTATAATCAAATTGATAATTGAATGACTTGTGATGTAATTTACACATTATTATTCAACTTTTACATATTAATATTTACTCCTCGTGTTTCTTATAATAATATAAACGTAAATTATACGTGATGTTTAAATTAAACAATTTGTGAAACATGAGAAATTCGTTTCTTCAATTATCTTTGTATTTAGTGTTTGTTGTTTTTATCATGTGCACTTGTTTTTACTTTTATTTATAACAAGTAAAATTATTATTTTTATTATTGTAATTCATGTCCGTCCATATATAAGTGTGATATGTGACACGTCACGTGATCTTAAAATTAGAGATCTCGTATATAAATGTTATTCAGGCCCATCTATGTAAAATTTATGTGTCATAACGACATTTTCGTTCGAAGAAAAACAAACTTTCCGCTCGGTTCTCAGAGAAGTGATAAATAAAGTTATAAACGAAGATTTTGACAGTATCTTTAATCGTTTTTTTCATAATAAATTTTGTTAAAAAAACCTCGTAGATCCCTTATAATTTCAAATTTGACAATTTAATCTTTATTATAAAATATTTTAAAAAAATTATTTTGAAAAAGCAGTACAAGACCTGCACATAATTTAGGACGGACGGGTTGTATTTACAAGTATGTCATAAATAATATAGTTCGAACGACGATCATTGGTAATGAAAATATATTATAATATAGAGTAGAATCAATCAAGATAAGATACTTATAAGATTCAAAAAACAAAATAAATATAAAGGAAATTCAAGGATGGACAAAAATACTAGTTGAAGAGGTAAAATATAATTAACAAAAAAAAAATTTAATTAAAATTTAAATTAAAAAGTCTAAGTATATATATATATATATATTTATATAAGAAGGGTTCATCCCAGATTAACATAGCAACCAAGAATCAACGGTTGACGACCACCGTTCATCGTTGAATAACTGTCTTTTTCAATCATCACTGTTGTCGGAGAGCTATCAAGAGGAGGTAAGTTTTTCTTTTCATCGAGTGTCGCCCAGATCGTTGTCGACCTACATCTGATTGTCGTAGTCCCCTGTCGTTGTCATTTGGTGCCATTAAATATCAGTTTTCTCTTGATATAACTCTCCGGCGACATTGATGGTCGGAAAAGACAATTTTCCAACAATGAACAATGGTCATCAACTGTTGGTTATTAGTTCTTGTGTTAATCTGGGATGAACACTTCTTATATAAATTCGTTGTTTCAATTAAATATAAATCGTGTAAATTTTAATAAAAAATAATGATTTAATTATATTTATATTTGAATTAAAACTAAATTTTAATAAAAGATTAATAGTAAACAGGTGTTTTAAATTTTTAATATTTCAAATATTAATTAATAATTTATAATAATATATTATATTAATAATATATTTCGGTGTGCAACATTCATTCTAGAATCATCCCAGCATGCAGTCGGTAGATCAATTAAAGTATTTACGTTGAACCCTTTCCTACCTATCATTCGCGTCCTCCTCACGCGCGAATATGGCAACGGACAACTATTATGTTTTTTAGGTTTCAGCAAAGCTGGATTTTGCTTTGGAGCGATTAATTTAATAATTTATTTTAATTGATTAATTAATTGCAATTAAGAAAGACTCGCCATTCAAAGTACAAATCCAAATCCATTTCTGGGTCAGACTTAG